GCTGGGCCAGCTCGCTGGCCAGCTGCATGGTCTCCAGGCTCTCCTGCAGGTAGGTAGCCAGCTCCCCGGCCCGGCTGTTCTCCAACTTCCCTTTAGCATCCCTGGGGGTGGGTGCCACTGAGAGAGACTGTCCCTCAGCCAAGGCTGGCCCACCCCTTGGCATTGTGCCAGGGCAGCGAGCCCAGCTACTGGCTTCAGAACCTTCCAGGTGGCCCCAGGGAGAGGATGAGGATCATCACAGGGACCACCGAGACAGGGCTGAGTCCACCGCTGCCACTCAGAGCTCCCCCGCGAGGGACAGGCTGGGGGAGGGATGGGAGCCCCCCACTAAAGGGCAGCTTCTCTGCCCCAGGGCACCCTGCTGGGCCTCGAGCCAGGCTCAGGACGTTGGGGTCAGGGGAGCAGGGCCGTTCCCACCTGCCCCACCTGAGGCCCCGCTCGGACACCCACCAGGCCTTCTGCTCGGCCAGCAGGATGTGGCTCAGCGATGCTTGGTTCTGACGCACGAACTTGGCCAGCTGGACCACGGCCTTGTCCAGGCCCCGACACTGCTCCAGGAGGTGGCACTCTTCCTGCTGCCGGGCAGAGGCAACCTGAGACCTGCCCAGCTCCAGCCGGGGCCCCGCCTGTGCTGGTGCCCCGCCTGTGCCGCTGCCCACTGTGCCACCCACCTGCCTCTGCCCCTGCAGGGCCCGCGTGCGCTCTGCGTCCAGCTCCCGGAGTTGCTGCCACTGGCTCTCCAGCTCCTCCCACAGGCCGCTCTCCACCCGCAGCCGTGCGCTCTCTGAGGCCTTCATCCTCTGTGGGGAGACCCCGCCCGCTGTGAGCTGGGGAGAGGGGGACTGGATGGCCTGCCGCCGGCAGGCACTCACCTTCTCCAGGGCCAGAAAGCTCTTCTGCAGGAAGCTGCATAGCTTGGCCTCCCTCTTGAGAAAGCAGAGGCTCTTCTCCTCCCTGAGCTTGGTCATCTGGGCCTGTGGAGTGGGGGCCACATGGTCACCGTGCACCTCCCCAAGGGCGTCCCCCTTGCCCATCCCCATCCCCACAGCGCCATCAGGGACTTGCTGTTCTCCTGCCCAACCATCTCTGTCGGAGGGGACCCTGGTCCTGTGTGCCCTGCAGGGGTGGGCCCGTCACACCCTCCTCAGGAAGGAAGGCAGGGCAGGCAGGGGCCACATGTCCCAGAGAGCCAGGCGCAAGGGCTGTGAAGGGTCTGAAGGCCACGCTCCACGGGCCCAGGACACACATGGTCCTCACAGTGACTGCCAGACCCCACCAGGGGAGGCGGCAGAGCAGCCATCGGATCATACCCCTGCCAGGAGCCCCGGGCAAGGAGGCTGAGTGTACATGTGAGCACACGCTCACACATGCACACACACTCATGCACATGTGCACATCCCCGTTCACACATGTGCACACACAGTCTGCCCTCATTCTCCAGGCCCAGGGTGGGACCCCCTCTCTCTTCTCCCTCCATCAGCTCCTTTCTTGCTGCACCGAGGGTCTGGATGCAGGAGATGGGGGTCTAGGCCCACAGGCACAAGGCACCCTCTCCACGGCCACAAGTCCTTCTAGGGCCAGGAGGGCTGCCCACAGCCCAGAGCAGGTGTGCCCTGAGCCCCCACCAGCCTCCCTGTCCCATGCAGGGTAACCCAGAGCAGGGCTTGGCTGTTTCTATAAAGAACCAGAAGGCAGGGCTTCCCTGGTGGCGCAGTGGTTGAGAGTCCGCCTGCCGATGCAGGGGACACGGGTTCATGCCCCGATCCGGGAAGAGCCCACATGCTGCGGAGCGGCTAGGCCCGTGAGCCATGGCCGCTGAGCCTGTGCGTCCGGAGCCTATGCTCCGCAACGGGAGAGGCCACAACAGTGAGGGGCCCGCGTACCGCCAAAAAAAAAAAAAACAGAAGGCAGACGTTTGGCGTTCATGGGCCACAGGGTCTCTGTCATAAGCCTTCAGCTTTGTGGTTCCAGCACAAAAGCAGCCGTGGGCAACAATAAACGAATGGCCACATGCCGATAAAACTTTATTCACAAAACCAGGCAGCAGTGGCAGGGCACTGACCCCAGCCCCATGGCACACTTGGGGAGATGCGTGCCAGCCAGGCATCGGGGATCCCGGGCCCCGATGCCGCCTGGGGCTCCTGCCTCTCGATGGAGCCAAGGCACCAGCTTCCCACAGGGCAGCGGGAGGGGCACGCATGGAGCTGGGCAGCTGAGCTATGAGGGCAGCAGCTGGGGACGCGGCACAGTCCCTGGTCTCTATTTGCAGAGCTGAAGAGGCTGGATCCAGAGGTGCCCCACCCTGGCCCCTGCCCCACCTTCTAGGCCACACACACCAGCCGGAAGCAGGGCCACCGGAAGATGCGTCTTCAGAGAGGGACTTCCACTTTGCACGGAGGGAAGCATTGAAGCTGGAAATGGCCGAGGAAGGGGCCTCGGGCTATAAGATTCTATTTCTTGGTCTGGGTGCTGATCACATGGGGAAGGGGAGGTGGGGGAGCAGTGACCACAACAGCACTCGTGCTAATGATGGACTTTCTGTGATGGAGGACGCACTCCACCTCAGCACAGCCAAATCGACAGCCACCAGCCACAGGTAGCCACAGTGCACTGCGATGTGGCTGCTGTGACCAAGGAACTGAGTTTTAAATTGCAACATACAGAGCCACCCGTGGCCAATGGCCACCGTAGTGGACAGTGTAGGACTTGGGGGTCGGCCAACAGGTCCGAACACGTGAACGGAACCAAAAGGAGAACTGGGGTGAAGGAAGACCTCAGCAGTGGAGAAGATGTGGGATGGGGAGAGTTGGGGGTCTCCTGCACAGACTGCCTTGTTGGCAGCTTGCTGGCTGCTGATGCCAGAGCCCTGCCTGGATCTGCCCCTGGCCTCCCAGGTACCTGCATCCTGGCCACCTCATGGTCCACCCTCTGGCTGACCTCCTCCTGGCTCTTCTGCAGGGCTCCACAGGCCACCTCCCGGTCCCGTTCCTCCTGCTTCAGCTTCTCGGTCAGCTCAGACAACCTAGGGGCAACGGCTGCAGGTCACAGCAGCCCAGTCGGCCAGAGGCCTGATGGGGAGCCTCAGGGAGGCTGGTGGGGCCCTGGACACCAAATCTTTTTCAGGCCAGGCCTGCATCCGGGGAGCCCAGGCTGACCTAGCAGGAGGTCCAACCCTGCCCGGGTAAACACAGAGAGGCCAGAAGCCCACTCTGTGTCTCCACCTGGGACAGAGAGACCTAGAATCCCCGTGAGCGTAACTGATGGGGAAGGGGAAGAGGTGGGGACCCTGGGCTGGAGGGTCACCTGCCCTCCTTGATGACTCCCACACGACCCCTCGGCAGGTCCAGAGACAGCCTCCTGAGGGGCCCACCTAAGGCTGGCCTCCTGCTCGGCGCCCTTCCGCTCAGAGTCCTGGAGTGCCTGCTTCCTCCTGATCTGGGTCAGGGCCTCCCAGACCTCCACCAGCCTGGCACACAAGAGCTGCTTCTGCCTGGGGCCTGCCCTGCCACCTCCTGGCAGCCAGGAGCAGGCTGGGCAGCCTTTGGGGTGGGGGTTCAGCCAAGGGGCCCAGCAGCAAGCCTTCTGCCCCTTTCCCAAGCTCCACAGGCTGCCGGGCTCCAGCAACCTGACCTTCTGGGGCTGGGCCGTGGATGTGTTTGCTTACCTGAGCAAGATACCAAATTGGAGGCAACAAAAGCCAGGGGCTGATGCCCAGACTGGCCTGGCAGCAGCCACTGCTTCCCCAAAGCCCCTCTCCCTCCTGCTAAGCCTGCTGCAAGGGTGCAGGGGTACCTCTTGTCCAGGGCCTGCATCTGGTTCTGGTTCTGCAGGCTGGGGAGCTGCAAGGTGGAGGGGTGAGCTGAGTGCAGGCCAGGGGCCCTCCCAGCTCGACCAGCACGGACACGGGGGCCCACGGAGTGGGACCCAAGGCCCTGGCCTGAGCAGCAGGGGCTGAGTGGGGCTCAGGGTCCAGGAAACAGCTGCCCTGACACCCGGGGATGTCGCCTCCCAGCTGACGCATCCCACCTGGAAAGCCGCCTTCTCGGGGGCCTGAACCGCCTGTTGAAGCCTCTTCAGCTCTGAGTCCTGCAGCTGCAAGCAGGTGTGGACCTGCAGCAGCTCCTGCAGCAGGCTCAGCGTGGTACGCTCACAGTAGGCCTTGTGTCCCTGCAGCGACACCACCTCGGCCTGCAGGTCGGCCACCCTGGTGGGGTGAGGAGCGGGCTGTGTCGGCTGCGTGTGTGGGGCACTGACTACGTGGCTCCCCCGCCCCTGGTCTCCAAGGGGCTTACCACTGCTCCAGCTGCTTCCAGTGCTTGGGGGTGTCCTGCTCTGGTACAGAAGCGGTGGACATCAGGCAGCTGGACTCATACCTCTCCGAGCTTTCCTCCAGACTCAAGGGCTCGGAGCTGGCCAGCCCTTCCTCCAGGAGGAGTTCCAGGTCCTCTGGGGTGATGGTGCCCGGCTGGGAGGGTGGCGAGGTCCCTAACGAGGGGTTGCTGTCTGCCGGCTCTACAAGAAGGTACCTTGGGGTTTGCCTTTAGAGCCACCGGGGGGAGATGCTTGCAGATGGAGCCCAGGATAACAGGGATCCAAAACCTTGCTGAGTGCGCCCACTGAGCTCACCGTGGCTCATCCCGCTGGGTCCCACAGCAAGGCCCAGCTCTCACTGTCCATGTAGGAAGCTCAGCCTCAGAAAAGTCCAGGGCCCCACCTGAGGACACACAGCATTGGGCAGCTGGAATGGGACAGTGCCTGCCTGGCCAGCTTCAGATGGAGTGCCTGGGCTCTGAGGAGAGCTGGGGGTCAGGAAGCAAAGCCGTCCCACGTGGCCCAGACCCTCGTGCAGGCTGGCTCTTGCCTGGTGGTCCTCCCAGCTCCGCCACAACTCACCTGATATAGCTTTACCAACAGCCCTGCCTGTGGTTTTGGCCGTTGCCAAGAAGCCCTGGGCCTAGCACCCCATGGCTGCCCACAGCTAGACCCCAGGGCGGTTGCGGGAGGGGGATAGGGGAGGGCGGGAGGCAGGAAAAGTCAGAGCTGAAGGCTCTGGGATCCAGGGGGAGCACATGAGGTGTGAAGTGGTAGCTCTGCCCTCACATCTCTCCTTCCAAGACAAAACCAAGGTAGGCAGGGCAGCGGGGGCTCTTCTGGAACCTTCTTTTTCTCACCAGAACCTCCTGACTTCACAGCCCAACTGCCGGTAGAACCTGAGCCCTCAGCTTTCCCATTCCGTCAAGGCCTCCCCAACTGCCCGTTTTTAGAAGGATCTGAGCGGGTACCACTTGGCCAGCCAGCAGGGGTGGCTGCCGGCCTGACACGGGCAGGAACCCCCTGGCCTGGGCACGAAGGGAGGGAGGCCCAGGAGCAATCACTGGCCCTCTGGTCAGAGAACCCGAGAAGGGAGGCTGGAGCCCAGGACCTGCTGAACACAGCCAGCCCAACAACCAGGACGAGGGCACAGGGTGCCACAGGGGAACATGGCCAGAGCAGAGCCACCAAGAAAGGGTGCCGGCCACAGAGCAGTTGCACTGGTGATTTGAGCAACCTCAGCGAAAGAGACAGGTGGAGTGAATTTTATTTAACCCAGTGTAACTAAAAACTCCCTTAACACATAACCAACACTTGAGCAGCTGAGAACACAGTGCCTGCACTCTCCCCACACCGGGTCCTGAAGCCGGGTGCGCTGTGGCCAGTCTTGCTTCAGGCCAGCACTGACACTCAGGTGCCTCACCCCACCCAGGTGGCCCTGCTCTCTACTGTTGCCCAGACCCGGCCACGAGGGCTGTTGGGGGGCTTCCCTGTGACAAGGTCAGTGTCTCACAGGCAACCCCTTGCCCAGGAAACCCGAAGCCCCGCAGCCACACCACACACCTTGGAGCCCAGCGGGTCTGCGTGCTGACGGGGCGGCCCGTGTTTTGGGTGCACCTGAGCTTGCAGACAAGGACGGTGGCCAGGATGCACGGAGAGGGAAAGAGTGCCTTCCCCGAGGGCTCTGCAGCGGCCCCAGGAGCAATGGGGACAAGGATGCAGTGGCCAGGGGCCTCCCTTCCATGGGCGTGGGACGGCCCCAGGTGCTTCCCCACCTGTGGGTCTCTGAGCCTCTCGCCTGCATCTCTCTCTCGGGGGTGTCCCCGCTGGGGCACTGCCTACCTGCACCACACATGAAGGAGGGCCGCATCCTGGGTTGCCCCCCCGACCCCAGTGGGCCTGTGAATACTGGGAAACTGGACCGTGGCCCACTCTGGATGGGAACGAGAAGCCGGCACCAGTTGTCTGGGTACAATTCCTTTATTTCTCCCATTCAGATCCCCACACTTGGACCCCTGTGCCCCCCATGGAGGGCTCCCCTGCCAGGATGGAAGAGGTCTTTTGCGGCCCCATCCCCTTCAAAGAGGCTAAAACCCAGGTGGAGTGCCCGCCAACCTACCACAAAGGAATCCAAGGACCTCATCACAGAAGTGGGCTGGGGAAGTGAGTCACTTTAGAAAAAAAGTCCCGTGGGGCACTGGGGACACAGGATCCCAAATCTGGCACTGCCCAGCCTGGGAGGGGTGCATCCCTGCTCTGGGCTCGCCAGTTCTTCCCAGAAACAACCTGCCCCCGACACTGGAAGCAGAGCTGCCCCAGAACATCACTCGGGGCTGGGGGTCCTCAGGGGCCCATGCGGCCCCCGTGTGCTGAGAAGACCCGCCTTCCCTGTGCCGTCCACATGGGCGCTGGGATAGAGGCATGGCTGGACTTGGGGGTCCGGGCCCACAGGAGTGTCTCAGCTCTCCCCTTTGGCCCAGACCCCGGCTCAGAGCCCACTGCACCAAGTGGGTGTGGCTTGGGGTGCACGGGTGTCTGGGAGTGCGGCTCCAGGGTCTGCTCTCCAGGTGGTCCTGCTCCCCCGAGCCCTCGCCTTCATGAGTCCAGCTTGTGTTTCTGCCCAGACCCCAAATCTCACGGCCACAAACTGAGCTGAGGGCTGAGAGGGACAGGACCAGAGGCCTCTGCTGCAGCCTCGAGTCGCCCAGGCCTCCAGCTGGAGGTGCTTAGGGTGCACTGCTTCCAGGCTATGGGCCCGTCCTGGGGGCTGCAGTACTCGGACCCACAGGGCCCAGCCTGCCAGCTGTCACACGTGCACACACATGCAGATACATACGCACACTTGCGGTCTCTCAAAAAAGAGCAGCAGTTCTACAAACTGACTCCTCGAAGTCAGGAAACAGGAGGCTGGCGTGTGAAATCTTGGAGGGTGAAGGAATGAGGTCGGGGGGGGGAGGGGAGCACTGAGAAAACGAAGAGACCACATGTGTCACACGCTGGCTGGGCTGTCCCCGAGGTCTGGAGAACGCTGGATCCGCCACTGCCTGGGGAGCAAGGCAGGCACCCCGGGGGAGGTGCCAGGGCCTCACGTCTGGGCCAGAGAGAGCTCCTCTAGGCCCCCCTTCCCAAGCCGGTACCTGGCGAGGTCCTTCCTGGTCACCAGCCCGACCACCTGTGGGAGCAAAGCCAGGTCATGGGATCCAGCGGCCTCTGCCTCTATGGATGCCGCTGTCCCGTGTGCAGAGGACAGCAGAGTCTGGGGGAGCCCTGCGGGTGGGCAGGCAGGTTGGTAGGCTGCAGGCAGTGGGCTCCCCCCATCACCTGATTGCAGTTGTCCACCACCACCAGGTGCCTGAGGCCCAGGGCCCGAAACAGCTTGAACACCCGCGGGAGAGATGCCTCCTGCAATGCAGACGCAGCCTCAGCTCGCCCGCCGGCCCCTGCCCCACCCCGGGACAGGAGCGGGCCAGGACCTGCCACCCCCCTGCCTGTACACCCCCGCCTCAGCCAGCACATCCTGCTCTGTAGCCACCTCCACCCTCCTACAGAGCTCGCCCCCCACCCATCTGCAATGGCCAGTGAAGCCAGAACGCCACCGGGGTGGTGGCTGCATGAGGCTCTGGAAGTGGGGGTCAGGCCCCTGCTCCCCACCGCCCCTGCGGCACCTGGGGCACCGTGTAGGGGGAGGGGTTCATGAACTCGGAGAGGTCCATGGTGCACTCCCGCTCGTCCTGGGACACATGGATGGACTGGATGGGGGGGAAGCGCGGGTAGGCATCACGGAAGTCCTTCAGCCGCAGCCGGCGCCGTAGCAGGCCCATGTAAGAGCGTTCTATGAACACCTGCAGGCGGGGGGCAGGCAGTGGGTGGCAGCGCCTCAGAGCCCAGGGCCCTGCCCGGCATCTCCTGCCACCCCCTTCTCCTGCCACCCCTGACAGCCTACCTTGTGCTTGAGCAGGACGATGAGCTGGGAGCGCAGGATTAAGCCCTGGAGCCGGGCTGGCTGCACAAGAAACAAAACACCCTTGTCTGCGGAGGACCTGGGACTTGAGACCTAGGGCCTGCCCTGCCGGCTGGTCCAGAGGGGCCAGGCAACAGCACCGGGATGCCTGGGGGATCCAGCCAGGGTCTCCAGCGATGCTGGCTGCCTATGGGCACTGGCCCTGCTACAGGCATTTCACCTGCACAGGCTCACGGATCCCCAAACGCCCAGGAGGGGAGGCAGGACCCCAATCACGAGGTGTTGAGAGACCATAGCATTTGTGGGGGCGAAAAGCAGACCGTGGCCCAGACGTCGCTGCACCTTCCATCAGGACCTCCTGACAGGCACAGCTGTGACTCCTCAGCTGGGGGTGCAGCTTGGGGTGTGACCACAGGACACACAGGCGCATCAGTAACTACCCAAGCTGCGGGAACAGCGCTCACATGGACCTGTCTTCACAGCCGTGTGACCAGCGGAATTCTACCAGAAACCCCAGAGCAGGGCGTCCACATTCACGGGAACCATGGCCCCCAACACGCCCCACTCGCCAGCACACATGATGAGCCCGGCTTCCTGCAGCTGGGTGGTACCTGCGTGCCGTCAGCATCCTCCACCACAGGGAAGCCATTATGATTGGACGCCGTGCTGCTGAGCACGTCCACAATGATGCCCACCTTCTCCCTCCTCCGCAGACAGGTGACTGGTGTGCTCATCACCTCCCTGTAGAAGAGAGACGCTGTGATCCACCACGGGGCAGAGGAAGCTTCCCGAACAGCTCAACATGCAGGAAGTGGCCGGACTCAGGAAACCTGGAGACAAGGTGGGCCAGGAGCGCAGACCCCCAGGTGCTGCCCTGGGGGAACCAGCCCTGCACCCACGTCCTGCTCCAGGCTGCCCCCACCAAGCCTCCCAGGGCGTCCAGCACCCGCCCCCCAGCCTGCGGGCCTGCCCCGGGAAGGGGTACCTGGCGGTGAGCGAGTGTGAGGTGACTGGGGCTTCCCAGTGCAGGAAGGGCACACTCTGCAGCTGGATGTGCATGTCGTACAGGCCCTGGGGAGAGGACGGGCACGGCCATGCGAGAGGCTGCTTGCGGGGCAGCCTCCACAGGGCCCCCTCCCTTGCGGCGGCCGAAGACCGCCAGTCTTTCTCCCAGCCTCAGGCTCCGAGGCCAGGGGCACGGGGAGGGGCTCCAGAGCGAGGGCGAGCAAGGCAGGCGGCCTCTCCCACAGGCCGCACCTCAATGAAGACATCCCCCACAATCTTGGCGGTCATCAGCACCAGCATGATGGGGAAGCCGTAGGTCACATTGCTGGTGGCCTCCATCATGATGACTGTCAGGCTCAGCGTCATCCTCACAATCCCACCTGCCAGGAGGCGGGGAGGGGAAGGGAGGGTTGCGGGGGGCACGAGCCTCTGCAGGCTGCACCGCCGGCCCCTCCCATGTTCCCGTGCCGTGTTCCCTGTGCAGCTCCCGCTCTGTCCATGCAACCCTGTGTACCGGCCCCCCAGATAGCACCAGATGCGGACAGTGACCCTGCCCAGCCACACGCTGGGGGAGTGGCGCTCCTGACCTCCGGACGCCCATGTTGCAGCCAGCACTCACCCAGCTGGGCAGCTGCTCCCATCAGGGCGTACTTGCCGGGGTCTGCCCAGACCTGCAGGGAAGACAGAGGGGATGCTGGGGGAAAGTGGCAGCCAAACCCACCAAGATGCACTGACAGCACTGGGCCCAAGAGGAAATCCTACAGTTTACAGAAAAAATGGTCTGTGGCAGCATCACCTGAGTTTGTAAATACCCTAGCTGTGCCCGCTCAGGGATGCACTGAATGAACTCTGCCACCTGCAGAACTCGGCAGCCTAAGACAGGAGGGTATGCACTATGGCCGGGGCGGGGGGGCGGGGGCACCCCGCGTGTGTGCAGTGACCGGAGTCCGTGCACAAATGCCTGCACCACACCAGGGAGCCTAAAAAGGAGTGAAAATCGGACTCGTGCTACAACATGGATGAGCCCTGAAAACATGGTGCTCAATGATGAGGCCAGACACAGAAGGCCATGAAGCGGGATTTCGTGAATCTGCAACCATCAGAAGAGGCACATCCACGGAGGCAGAAAGCTGATTAGTGGCCACCAGGGGCTGGGGAAGGGGGACACAGACGTGGCTGCTTAATGGGGACAGGTTTCTTTTTGGAGTGATGAGAACATCCTGGAACTAAGCAGCGATCACGGTTACACAGCTTTGCGAACAGGCTAAAGAGCCACCCAACCGTTCACTTACAGAAGGAGAGAGTTTATGGCAGGGGTCCGCAACCTCCTGGCCATGGACTGGACCGCACAGCAGGAGGTGGGCGGTGGGCAAGCGAGTGAAGCTTCATCTGCTGCTCCCCATCGCTCGCATTACTGCCTGAACCATCCCCCACCCCCATCCACAGAAACACTGTCTTCCACGAAACCGGTCCCTGGTGCCAGAAAAGGTTGGGGACCACTGGTTTATGGTACGTGAGTTACGTATCAATTAAAAAAAAACAAAATTAAACTAAAAACCGTGTCTGAAAGGAAACCTGGGACACATGACCTGGACCCAGTGAGGGAAGGCTTGCTGTGCGTCTCTTAGAGTTCTTTTTTTGTTTTTGTTTTTTTTTGCGGTACGCGGGCCTCTCACTGTTGTGGCCTCTCCCGTTGTGGAGCACAGGCTCCGGACGCACAGGCTCAGCAGCCATGGCTCACGGGCCCAGCCGCTCTGCGGCATGTGGGATCCTCCCGAACCGGGGCACAAACCCCGTGTCCCCTGCATTGGCAGGCGGACTCTCAACCACTGCGCCACCAGCGAAGCCCCTCTTACAGTTTTTTAAAGTCTTACTTGAACAAGATGCAAATAGAAGATGCAAATAGAAGGCTCACAGAATAAAGACCAAGGAGCCCACGGAGGCAGGTGGGAGGAAGAAGCCAGAAGGCAGCTCCGGGGCCAAGGCCTGGACACCGCACTCCCAGGCCCCAACTCCTGCACCTGCCCCATCCTTCTACACCACGCTCTCTCCCAACACCCGTGCCCTCCCTGAAGGCCACACGCACGCACGACCCCTGCTCTGGCCCACGGTGGCCCTAGTGGGCACCGGGAACACCACCCCTTCCTCCCAGCCCAGCCGGCCCTTAAGACCCCCACTCACCGCGGTCCCGGTGAGGTAGGACAGGGAGATGCCAAAGAGCCGGCCCCAGGCAGCTCCGATGAGCAGGGATGGGATGAAGACACCGGCTGACACCGTGAGCCCGTAGGTCCAGCAGGCCAAGAAGAAGTAGACCAGGGTGAAGAGGCCGAGCGTCATGGGGTTGTAGGAGCCTGCGGAGAAGGCGCTGGCCAGGGCTTGCCACACGGATTCAACCCCAGGCGGAGCTGCCTGCCCAGCAGCCCGTCAGAGCCTCCTGGTCACACCCAGAACCCCAGAGTCACCCCCTTCTCAGAGGCCAGGGTGCCGGGGTCTTGGGGGCCCAGCACTCAGAGTGTGAGCACGGCAGCCCAGCGGGCAGGGCAGAGCGGAGCTGGGGCCACCGGGGCCCAGAGCTGCCAGCAGGATGGTGACCTGGGCCAAGGGAAGGTGGCTGCTGAGGTCTGCATGGAAAAGGGTGGCACTGAGACCACCAGGGGTCAGGGGAGCGTGTCAGGAAACAACTAGAGCCACAGACAGATGGGCAAGCACGTCGCAACAGCCACTCTGGATCTCGGGGGTGTGCCCCTCCTCCCCGCCCCCACCCTGCGGAACCAAAAACAGGGGAAGTGGAAGCAGGTCTGTGCCCAGTCTGAGCCTGTTTGTTATTAAAAACATGAAGCTGGGCAAGGCACCTCGCTGGTATACGAGTCACCAGACTGTTTTCTGACTGAGAGTGACCTCTGCGAGCAGCGCCCAGAAGAAAAACTTATCCTAGGAGGTGAGACTGTCTTAATGAACGACAGGACAGCCTCCAGGGAGGGAAGGAGACACGTGGGGAGCTTGGCTGGGCCCCTCCCAAGCACTGGCCACCAGCCAACCCCAGGGTGCCAGCCCCCACGCTCCAGCGCACTCAGCCCTGCAGGGAGGCAGTGGGGGCTCGGCCAGAAGCCATCAGCCAGGCCTGGGCCCAGTGTCTGTGGGCCGGCTGCAGACCAGGCCAGAGGGAACAGGCCCACATGGGGACCTGCGTCTGACAGCACAGAGTGCAGAGCATGGGCACACACCTGGGGGGTCGTGGAAAAGGCTGACCACGCTCTTCTCTGGGGTGTTGAAGAAGGCTGCAGCCATTGAATTATACTCGCCATCGGCACAGAAGAGCTGCAAAGTCAGGAAAGAGAACAGGCCAGTGGGACAGTGTCCTGGCCTGGACAGCATCAGGCACCAAGCACACAACAGGCGGGTCAGGCTGCTGTCTTGGAGGGGAGGCAGGACCCAAGAGCCAGACCCTGGCCCAGTGAGGGCTTCAGAAGCCATCCGGCCAGGCAGGGGCTGCATGGCGAGTCTGTCCCTGGGGTACGTGGGGATCCAAAGGCTCACGTTTGGAGCACGCTCCTACAGTTCACTGGGCAGACTGTGGGTCCCTGCAAGCCTTGACCAGGGCAGGGGCTCCATGCAAAGCTGTGTGGGTCAACCCCACAGCCCCACCAGAGCCAGCCATGCACCCCAGACCCACATCTGTGACAGGCCTGTGAGTACACACTCCACACCCACTGGCAACCAGCAACTGCTTTCAGTTCTGGATGTTTCCCATAAACAGAAACCACACGATGTGTGGCCCTTGCTGTCTGGCTTCTTTCACTCAGCAGTGTTTGCCAGGTTCATCTGTGTGGGAGCACATGTCAGAGCTCCAACCCTTCCTACAACTGAGGAAACCCACTCTGTGGACGGACCAGGCCGTGTTCACCTGCTCGTCACTGATGGGCACAGGGGCTGCGGGGAGTTGTGCTGCAGCGAGCGTGTGCACGCGAGTTTCCGCCTGCAGGCCCACAACCCCACCTCCACAGTCCCCTTGCAGAACCTGTCAGGCCGCTGCTCTGAGAGGACTGGGGTGAGACCCCAGGCCGACGTGGCACCCACCCATGTCTGGGAAGGCTCACCCTGCCCCTGCCCCGGCCGCCTACCTGGAGTGGATAGGACACGGAACTCCCCTGCAGGGGCTGGCAATCCCGGGATGAATAAATCAGCACGAAGGCAACCGTGGCCGTGACGGCGGCCACCAGCATGGCCTCGATCACCTGAAGGCAGGGCCGGTGGATGTACCTGGAGCAAAGAGCCGGGGTGGACCAAGCTGTGGGATGGCTGGGGCGGCAGCCAGGGCAACCTGAGCCTGCAACTCGGGAGAGCCGTCCAGGATGCTGAGTTCATCTGATGACCAACCCGCCCTGGCTCCTGAACACTCTCAGGCTGCCTCCCGGATGCTCCCCAACCTCATTTTATGTTAGTGCAAAAAGACAAGAAAGAAGAAAGCCAAGACCCACCCCTACGGCTTCAGAAAACCAGAGAGCTCTCATGATGGCTCTCCTAACAGCAGAGGACCTGTGTTGGACCAAACGTGCCCAAGTCAGGATGGCCCCGTACAAACCGCGCTGGCGCTGACATGAGAGGCCCAGAAGAGCATCAACCGAGGGCCGCGCCGGATCCATGGGCTGTGCCTTCCCTGCCAGGGGCCACCCTCCAGGCTCCACCTGTCCCCCTGCCGAGTGGGTCTGTCCCCTCAGGTACAAAGCACCGTGGAGGGGTGTGCTTGGCACGTGGCTTCCCCACGGCCCCGTGGGCAAGAGCCCATGACCGGTCAGTTTTCAGATGCCCTGTGTGGCCACACCTCTCAACTCAGTCCCTGAACAGGTTTCTCACCTGATTCGAAACATCGTCAACCAGTAATTCAAGGCGTTGAACACAGCTCCGAGAATGCCACCTGGGACAAGGAAGGAGCTGCGTGTCCGGGACTCGGGAAGAGAAGCAGGCTGCCCAGGCAGCAAACGCCCGCTGGGTAGAGGGCTCACGTCCCACGGGCTTTCAGAGTAAGGAGTGTTGCCCAGGTCCGTCTGCTTCCCAAGGGGCTGTCATCAGCCAGAGTGCGGCTCCAGTCCTCCCAGGGTCGGGCTCCCTCCCCACTGCCCGGGGCGGTCCTGGGACAGCCAGCAGGGGTGGAGACCGCGTGCTTCTCTGGCCCTCGAAGCCGGTTCAGGCCTGGAGCCCCGCAGGCCCTGTCCCCACTGGTCGGCGCTGTCCCACGCGGGGACGGCCCTTACCCACCACGCCCATGGCGATGAAGATGGGGATCTCATGGATTGTGTACACCATCGTCTGTGCAGAGGGAGGAAGAGGAGACCTTCTGTGAGGAAAACTGCCACCAGCTCCTGCTCAGACTCGGGACCGGACGTTTCACAGGACACACCTGTGCACGGGAACCCTGGCGCTTTCCTGCAGGGCGAGGAGGCCCCCAGAGAGAAAGGCCGGGTGCTTGGGCAGACCGCCTGCCTCCTCACACAGCAGCTCCGGGGGGCCGCCTGAGCTTTTGCCAAAGGGTAAGTGAGGGGCCACGAGCAAGGGAGAGGATGCTGGTGACCTAGCCACCCAGGACCTCTGACGCATCCACGGGTGAGGACCAGCCCCTGAGAGGCTCCCTGGGCTCAGCGATGGCAGTGTGCAGCGCAGGCTGCCCCAGAAATGCTGCCTGCGCCTCTCGGCCTCCAGAAACTGCTGCAGGAGCGCTGGCCACCAGTCTAGTGATGTTACCTGACAGTCTGCAGGCACCTGAGCCACTCCTGAAGTGCCCGCTGGCTGACGGGCGCCACAACCTGCGCGGCCGGGTCACGTGCACCCTCCTGGAGCAGCTCCAGGTGCTCACAAACAAGGGCCCTATCCCACGGCTAACAGCTAGACCTTTCCAGAAGCCCGGCTCTCAGGCCGAACCTTGAGTAAACAACCTGGGTCCTGCTCATAGAAAGAACCAGAGAAAAAAGGGGACGATGCAGTGGGTTACCTCAGTGTCAAATCTTCCAAAATTGATGAGACCAGGGCTGGACAGATCCCACACGTTTCCATGGTAAATGCTTAAGACGAAATTCAGGGTGAAGGTGGAAATCATGGAAGCAAAGAACTGCAGGCGGAAAAAGACGAGTGCCGTCAGAGCCGTGGTGATGAGTTGCGGCAGTGTGTACAGCAGCTGAGCCCAGGGCCAGAGGGTGGGGAGGGGCTGCAGCAAAAGGGCTGTCTCCCCTCCTGTCACCTGGGTGGTGCCTAGACCTTCCGAAGGCTGAGGGAAGGTGGCTTGGAGCCCCACTGGCTCGGCCAGGGTAAGAACGTGTGCGGGGCCTGGGGTCCCGATGAGGACGGAGGAGAAACAGGCCTATGGCTCAGGGACCCACCAGCTGGACGGGAAGCTCAGGTGCAGACCCCACAGTGTGGGCCAAGAGCCACGCGTCCACCCAGCCATGAAGGCCCAGTGGCAGGGCTGCCTGAACTCGGGAAGGTGGCCGTCCCAGGCACTTACGATTCTCCACGTCAGGAACTGATTCCAGAAGGATGCACCCTCCTCCAAGCTGAACAGGACCCCACCTGGAACAGCCAGTGGCCCAGCCCTGAAGTGCCCGCCCAGCCACAGACAGCCCCTCACCCACTGCCACCCATGCCCCCAGACCCCAGGACACCAAGCCCATGACAGAGGCAGCCATCGGGGCCTCTTGAGAAGCCCACCCCACACCCTCACCAGGCACTGAGTCCATCAACCCCAAAACCACCCCTCTCACAGCAGGGAGAGCCTGGCTCCCCCTACACGGGCAGTCACCAAGCTCTCAGACCAGGCAGGGCCACCCTCCTCACCCACAGGGGCCCCAAACGCAGCAGACACTCCAGCCGCAGCTCCTGCTGAGACAAAGTCCCGTTTCTCTGTGTCTCTGCGGAAGTACTCAAAGATCTGAACCAAGACAGACAGAGAGAGGGTCTCAGCCAGTGCCTCCAAGGGCACTTCTCTCAGAAAGGGGGGAGGTGGGCCCAAAAGCAAGGGAGGAGGGAAGGGAGGAATGTGGGGAGGCCTCTGGACAAGCCACTCATCAACCATGGGGCTCACAACCCGCAGGACTGAAGAGCTGGGTCTCGGGCAGCTTGCCTGCCCACCAACATCCAGAGAAAATAACCCATTCACAGCAATATTTAAACACTGAGGTTTGTGCAAGAAGGACCAGAACTGAGCACCAGCAGCCCACACACATGACCTTCCCGACCTCTCTAGGCCACGCATTCCTGTGAGCTTACAGCTACAGGTCATTTCCTTGCAGAAATGCACACTCACCCAGAGCACCAAGGCAACAGGATGCCCCCATGGACAGGATGCCAGGGACCCTCAGAGGCGAAGGGAAGGAGGCTGCAGGGGAGGCAGAGGCCCAGCCCTGGGGGTATGGACGTGGGCGCAGGGAAGACCCACCTTGAAATCCCGCTTCAGTGACGTGGACCTCCCCTGGGAGACCCCAGCAGCAATCACGGAGCCCGAATGGATCATTGGTCCCTCCTGGAAGGCACAAACGGCTGCGTTCAGATGGGCGCGGCTCCGGTGGGGGGGACACACCGGCCCCAGGCCCCACGGGTGCAGAGGGACTCAGGCAGGGGTAGCTACACTCTGTTACCTTCCCCACAGCCAGTCCCCCAACCACGGACAGGATCACGCCGGACACTTTGATCACCAGGGTCTGGAACACAAAGGAAATTGCACCAAGTCTGATTAAAGGCCACACGTGGTCCAAGAACCTGAGGGACAAACTGCACACGGGAAGGGACCTAATCATGTGAGCCCTCGGCAGGCATGAGCACCAAAGAGGGGGCCGGCACCCACGGCGGGTGTCCTGGGGGAGGGGGAGCTGGCAGCTGATGCTCTCCTGACGCCCATCTCTTCAGCCCTTCTGTCCCAGGTGGTCATGTACACACAGAAGACACGCAAACAGCAGCTGTCGCTCTGTCCTCGGGCTCTGGGCTGCAGGCTCCTGCACCCGCATCTAGCTCGGGCCCTGCCCTCCTGCTGCAGGGCACGGAGCACAGGCACCCCCACCCCTCCTGTCTGCTCCCCGGAGTACCTCCTCCCCAGACAGAGCAGGAGAGACACTGCCAGCAAACCCCAGACCAAGGCACACCAGCTGCACACCCTGAAATGATCACGGGAGGAAACCTGACCTCCCAACCCCCTTGGAATCAGTGTGTTACCCAGAAGATCACGCACAATGAGATTAAGGAAAATTCTGAAAAAAGGAAAAAACTCACCACTCAACACAGCTACTCTCATTCTGAAATACTAACCACCATATGGAACTTAAAATGTCTACATGGTTGCAATTGTGACAGATGTACCTTCAAGTATTTTTGCGTCATTCAGAATGTACGACAGTTTTACCATTTTCCAAAGAAAGTTCACATAAAATCTGCCAGCACACCCACACGCAGGCTCGTCAGCAGCAAACAGCACGGGTCTGGGCGAGTTTTGGAGGCGGAGGTGGACAAATGACACACTTCTCACCCAACAAGGAAGCCCCTTGGGCTAAGCCCTGAGCTCCCGGCGGGGCCGCCTCGTGTCTCACCTTGAGCCGGACCACGTGGGGGATCTTCACCCCGTTGAGGAAGCACTTGATCTGGGGGATCCCGCTGCCAGCAGCGACCGGCTGGAAGGAAGGGCGCCAGCACTGAGTCCGCAGGCCGAATGAGCCGCTACTGCCGCCGCCACCGCCACCAGGCCCAGGAAGACGCGCCACGCAGTGCCCAGGTCGCCCAGGGTAGTGGCTTCTCGCCTCTCCCCACTGATACACAGAGCAACCACCGAGGGGAGGAAACGCCTCGGGCATGGGAGGGCTCAGTGTCCCCAAGGCAGGCGGGGGTGCCCAGGATGATGGGAGGCCCACGTCACACACCCGCTGAGGGGCCAGCACTGTCGCACCCTCTGGGGGACACTGCACTGCACCCCAGACAGAAGCTCCTGGACGCTGCCCCTTCTTCCTTCCAACGCCCCGAGGGAAAAGCAAGGGGGCACAGGAAGGAAGGGTGCCCCAGGAGCGTCTGACCCCTCGGGTGGGTCCCTCCACCCGCACCCCTGGGCTGGGCGCTGCCTCTGCTCCCTGCTGCGTGAAGTGGGTGAGGGACTGTGCGGGTGGATGGGCACGGCCGCCAGGGCCAGGGTTGGAAGGCCCAGGTGGGCTTCGTTTTGGCTGAACCGCCTGATGCCTAGCAAGGATTCCACTACAGTCTAGCCAGTGAGTCTCACCGGAAGATGCTGTGGGGGGTTGGGGTGGGGAGCGGTGGAGGGGCCCACCTACCTCTATGAAGGCGACGATCACAGAGCCCAGGAGCACAAAGGCCACATTGAGCGAGGCCCACAGCAGGAGGGAGAAGGACAGCCCGCCCCGCGCCGTGAACTTGTCAATGTCTGGGCTCGTCAAGGACCACGCGGGGTGGTGTCACCCAGGCGCCACTCCCCAGTGGGCTGCACTCCGGACTCTGGGACCTGGAGCACTTACTGGGCATCTCAGGGTCACCACAAAGCCTGACCCCCCAGACATGCAGCCCCCGCCCAGTCACATCTTCCGGCCAATGGCATAACACAGGTGGGGGCTCCTCCTGTGGACCCGCTGGCTCTGGGCAACCACAGACAAAGGATACTGTCCTTGACGACCCTGTACTTTAGGCCGGCCAGCTTCTCCACCACGATGTCGATGAAGCAGGCCACGAGGCCCGTGAGGATCCCGATCATGGCACAGATGACCCAGCGCTTTATCTCCACAGTCCGGAAGGCCTGCGGCAGCGGGCATGAAGGGGGGCGCTGTCACAGGAGGGTGCGGAGGCGGGACGTCCCGTCGTGGCCTGCTCTAGTGACTGCCACCACGCACAGGGCTGCCCTCAGGACCCTGAGTCCCAGGAAGAGCAGCCCCACCGACATCTCAGAGGCCGTGGAGCACTGGTGGGACAGAACTCCCCAACCCGGTCATAACTGGATGCTGACGCTCCAGCCGCCACCCCTAAGAACAGCTTCCTCAGTGGTAATGATGTGACACCCGCACGGGTCTCCATGCCGGGCAGCGGCCAGCGCTCACTCCAGGACACCAGCTGGAGCCGAGAGGGGAGGGAGGTGGTGGGGACACCGTGGCCACGAGGCCCAGCTGCCCGCCAGACTCACTGTGTGATTGATGCGCCGCTCCTCCTCCAGGAACAGCTGGTTCTCGCTGTTGTCATAGTCCAAGCTCTGCGGACCGGGCAGTAGAAACACTAGTAACTGACCCCAGCTCGCAGGCTCAGGTCGGCCACCGTGGGAGAGGGCAGGGAGCAGGGGGGCCCACCTCATACTTCAGGGACAGAAGCTTCTCGTTGTGCGGGATCTCCTTGGGGAAGGGGTGAAGGGGGTCCATGTCCTGCGGGAGGAAGAGGCAGAGCTTGACAACCCAGCATATGTAAGAACGAAGCAGAACGAGGAAGGGGCCATGCTCACTCGTCCCGCAGGGCAGGGACGCTCCTGAGCCCAAAGCTAGACAAGCACAAGGCAGGAACTGGCAGACACAGACCCTCCACAGGACACCAGCAGGCCAGGTCCCACACCACCACGGCCAGGCGGGTTTATCCCAGGAACACAAGGTGAGTTGACCCCCAAAAAGCAATTAGTGTGGTGGGTTGACCCCCCAAAAGCAATTAGTGTGGTGGGTTGACCCCCAAAAAGCAATTAGTGTAAGATGTCTGTGGTCTACGTCCAGGTTCTGGCACCAGCCTCTGACCCACCCGCTTGGCATCTCTGGGTGACGAGTGTGTCTGGGCTGGGGCTGGAAGACCATCACAGGATTAGCGGGCTGGAGACACAAGCAGCTCATCTCTAACGGCCAAGGATTTAATTAGTCCTGCCTGTGTAATGCAGCCTCCACACAAACCCCAAATGGAGGGGTTCAGGGAGATTGCAGCTGGTGAATGTGGAGGTGCTGGGAAGGTGGCTCCTAGGGAGAACGTGGGGGCTCTGCACCCCTTCCCACACCTTCCCGGGGCATCTCTCCCACCTGGTTGTTCTCAAATCATGTCCTTTATGATAAACCAGTAACATAAGCAAAGTGTTCCCTGAGTTCTGCAAGCCATTCTGGCAAGTTATGGAACCCGAGGAGGAGGCGTGGGAACCCCGATTTACAGCTGGTCAGTCAGAAGCACAGGTGACAGCCTGGACTTGTCACTGGCATCTGAGGTCGGGGGGTCTCGTGGGACTGAGCCCTCAGCCTGTGGGTCTGCACGGATGCTGGGAAGTTAGGGTCTGAACAAACTGACCTGCAGGACACTCAGGTGTCTGGACAATCAGAGGGTGAGTTGGTATGAAAGTAAAAACAGTTTGATACTGTTCCAATAGAATAAAGGACCAAGTCCACATGAAATGAACACCTCAGTAGTCACAAAAAGCATCTGACAAAACTCAACCCTTCGTGATAAAAACACTCAATAAACCAGGAATAAAGGGAACTTCCTCAACCTGATCAAGACACCTATAAAAAACCCACAGGTGGGCTTCCCTGGTGGCGCAGTGGTTGAGAGTCTGCCTGCCGATCCAGGGGACGTGGGTTCATGCCCCAGTCCGGGAAGATCCCACATGCCGCGGAGCGGCTGGACCCGTGAGCCATGGCCACTGAGCCTGCGCGTCCGGAGCCTGTGCTCCGCAACAGGAGAGGCCACAGCAGTGAAAGGCCCGCGTACCGCAAAAAAAAAAAAAAAAAAAAAAAAACAAAAACCAAAACCCACAGGTAACTTCATGCTCAGTGGTGAAAGACTGAAGCTCTTCCTCTGAGATCAGGAACAAGACGAGGATGCCTGCTCTGGCATTTCTACTCAGCACTGTCCTGGAGGTTCTACCAGCAGGGCAATTAGGCAAGAGAGAAAAGTGAAAGGCATCCAGATTAGAAAGGAAGTGAAACTCTTCTTTGCAGATGACATGGTCTTATGTGTAGAAAATCCCCAAAAGTACACTAAAAACAATTAGTATTAACACATTTAGTAAGATTGAAGAATATAAGATCAGTATACAAAATCAAATGCATTTCTACGCACTTGCAATGAACGATCCAAAATGAAATTGAGAAAACTCTATTTACAATAGCATAAAGATACAGAAAATAAACTTATTCCTGAAACACATTTAACAAAAGAAGTGTAAGACTTGTACACCAAGAGTTGCAACATATTGTTGAAAAAAACTGAAGACATTAATAAATGGAAAGCTATACTGTGGCTCGGGACATTTGATGTTAAGAGTAAATGCCACCTCTAAGTTCCAGCTGGCGTTTCTGAAGAAACTGACAAACTGAGCCTGAACCCCACACGGAGATACGCAAGGGATCTTGAAAGGCCAACACCTCCTTGAGAAAGAAAAATGATGTGGGATAATTCAAACTTCTTAATTTTGAAACTTACTACAAAGCTAGTCATTAGCAGAGTGCGGCCCGGGCGCAAGGACAGACAGAGAGCCCAGAAACAAATCCGTAATGCAGATCCAATGCAGCTGAAAATAAATAAATAAATTTTTAAAAAGTGAAAAAAAACCCCACAAAAACTGACCTTCAACAATGGTGCTGAGACAATTCAACAGGGAAAGAGTAGTTTTCTCAAGAAATGGTGCTGGGAAAACTGAGCATCCATATGCAAAAGAATGAATTTGGACCCTTATCTCATACCATGTACAAAATTAGTGAAAAACAGATCAAACATCTAAACTACAGAACTCTTATAAGAAAAGACGAGCAAATCTTTGTAACCTTGGCTTAGGTGATGGTTTCTTAGACATGACACCCAAAGCACAAGCAACAGAAAACAGATCAAATGGACTTCATCAAAATTAAAAGCTTTTGTGCTTCCAAGGACACTGGCAGAAAGTGAGACCACCTGTGGACCAAGCAGAAGTTTTTGCAAATCCTGTAACTGATGAGCAACTTGTGTTTAAAGTATATGAAGACTTCTTGCAGCTTCATTATAAAAACACAACCTGATTAAGAAACATGCACGGGGTCTGAACAGAGTTCCTCCAGAAGACATGAAGAACACACGGTACCAGCAGCCTCAGGGAAATGCAAGTCAGAACCATGAGCCACCTCCAAGGAGGAAGTCAAGTGCAAGTCTGGGGGAGGGGGTTTCGGGAAATGCTCCCCTGGCAGCTGCTGGACAGTTCGACCCCAGCACAGGGGCAGGAGAAGTGGACATCACCCATGTCCAAGGGCCCACCACCCTGAGACGCCCTCCTGCAGGCCCCACACCTGCCCACGGCACCTGCCCCCCAGCCCGCACACAGCAGCTAGCTCAACGGTCCTGGCCTGACATGTACTCCCCAACCTCTGCTCATCGGGCAGCCTCAGGGGACAGGGCCCCGCAGAGCAGCCTTCCCTGGTCGCCCAGACTCTGCAGACCCCACTGTCTGCACGTCACTCTGTCCCCATACTCTGCACAGAACCGCCACTGTCTGCCATCCTCTTGTTCAGGTTTTCCGTCTGCCCTCTGCTAGGCTGTGGCTCCACAAGAGCAGGCCTGACTTTCCCAGGAAGGGGCCTGGCATGAGCAGGAGCTCCAAAAATGGGAAAGGACGACCACTCACGGGGTCCAGAAGCTCATCATCCAGTTCCACGTTGCTCATCTGTCCGATCCGGAAAAATGCTGAATGGGGTGACTAGAAGCAGAAGAGAAATCATAGGCCGCTTAGCTATGGGGCCGGGCTGCACTGTGCACTACCCCATCGCCTGGCCCTACCTGTGGAGCACAGAGCCGCACCTGCCGTGTGGGAGACCCCAGCAGGGCCAGTGCTGGACCCCAGGCCCATCCCCATGACCCACTGAGGAGCCCAACCTCCAGATGGGAAGCCCCACCCTCCCCTGTTCTACAGTGTCCTCCTGGCCACCCTCCTTCCCTGGCCTGGAAAACCCTGGTGATTGAGGGCCCCTCCTCCAGGAGCCTTTCTATCCCCCCACCTCCAAACCCCATCTTTCTCTGTTCAGCCCCATCATGACACTGAGTGGCTACCAGGTGCGGACCCATCACAGGCCTCCAGGCAGGCCCCCCAGATATGTGCCCCTTTCCGGGGCAGGACCTTTCTGAAGTGGGGCTGCACTCCTGAGCACAGGGGCAGGTCAACCACAGAGGACGGACACCCTGGCACATGACTGCCCTCACGCCCACTGCCAGGCATGGTGGAGGCCAGGACTACGGAACAAAACACAGGCTGCTCACAGATGCATTTCAGAGAAACAAGTCACGCTGCAGGACACAAACACTGTGTGGAACATACGGCATAAAAACACAACCCGGGGCTTCCCTGGTGGCGCGGTGGTTGAGAGTCTGCCTGCCGATGTAGGGGACGCGGGTTCGTGCCCCGGTCCGGGAGGATCCCACATGCCGCGGAGCGGCTGGGCCCGTGAGCCATGGCCGCTGAGCCTGCGCGTCCGGAGCCTGTGCTCCGCAACGGGAGAGGCCACAACAGTGAGAGGCCCACGTACCACAAAAAAAACAAAACAAAAAACAAAAAAAAACCACAACCCGGTGCTCCTCTGAAACGCAGCCGGGCGCCCTGCCCTGCCTCTCCTCTGGCGGAAACCATGAAGCAGTGCAGGAACAAGGACCACAGAGCCCGCCATGCCAGAGCCCTGAGCACACAGTGATTCCAGCACAGAAAGTTTAATTCAGCAGCACTAACCCTACTGCCACTGGTGGTTACCAGGGGGTAGGGGGGACGAGGGGGCTTTGGGGACACTGGTGACTCCTCTGGGGGATGTCGAGCCTCCTGGGGCTGCTGTGCCCAATCACACAGCCTAGGCGTCTGAAAAACAAGAAACGTGTTCTCTCCAAGCTCTTGAGCCACAAGTCCAAACTTGAGGTGTCAACAGGGAGGGGCCCCTCTCAGGGTCGTGTGGAGGATCTTCCAGCCTCTGATGGATGCCAGCAATCCTTAGTGTTCATTCCCTGGCTTGTAGCCACATCACTCCAATCTCTGCTCCGTTGCCACCGGCCTTGTGTGTGTGTGTATACATGCACGCATGTCTCTCCTCTCCCATGAGGACACCAGCCTGACCACATCGCAACTTGACCACAGCTGCAAAGGTCTCAGACACGGGTTCCAGGTCAGGGGTGGAGACATTCCGGGGGGCACTGTGCACCCCACGGCAGGTGGTAACTTGTCAGGTGTGTTCACTAGACCATCATCCTGCTCCACCGTGTGACTGCACTTTTCTCTATGTATATACAGCAAACGTCGGTACAATGGGTGGGTGAGGAGAGAAATATAGCCGTTTTCTTTCTTAAAAACAATCGACAATGCCCCCAAACTGCTGAATCTGATGAGAAAGGCAGGGCGGGCCCTCCAGCTCCAAGCACGGGCAGGAATGCCTGGCCCGCTGGCCCAGAAAGGACCCCAGTTCCAGAGTGAACTCAACCCAGGAGGGGGCCCGGAGCTGCAGCCTCTGCTCCCTATGCATACACGAGTCATCAGGAATGGTGTGCCAGTCGCCAGTCCGTCCACAGCAACACGGAACAGGGACGTCTCCACGGAGAAGACGGCGTGCAAAGACAGGCAGAACTGAAAGTTGGACTGTGAAAACAGAAGACCCATCTGCCGTCCAACCCAAGACGGAGGCCACAGGCCAGGTGGCCTGGCCGTTTGTACCTCACTCTTCACTGATGGACTGCACCCCATGATCACTCCCACCACACCAAGTCAGCCCCTGCAGAGCAGCGCCTCTGCCACCTAAACAGTCCCCGAGGCTGAGGCTGCGACCGCGCACACAGCTGGGGGAGAGGGGGGCAGAACGGTCCACATGGCACGGACTCACTCGCTCAGGTGACAACGGGTCCTCAGCACCCGGCCGGGAGGACGCCAGGTAAGCACACATCTGCACCAGACAGCTCCATTCTGGACCCGGAAATGCGCTCATGCGGAGATGGCGCCCCCATTACAACTCCCAGGCACACCCTCTCCCACCTCCAGCACCTTCCTGGTTTCATCACCTCTTTTCTGAACTTTATGGGCATCTCTTAGGAAATATCTTTTGTGATGAAAGAAGCCATTTACTGAAAGTTCAGTGATTCATCTGTTGTGTCTGTTCCTTTCTCATTTCTTAAATGCAAGTTAATTACTAGTAGTTCCTCAAACTATTGATACACACGACAGCCTGGATGAAATCTCCATGCTTTCGAAAGAACTGAAAGATTTCAGACCATGTGGCTCCAGAGACTGGATGTGCTCGAAAGGTCAGACCCGGAGGGAGGACAGATTTGGGGGGGAGGGGGTGACTGTAAGAGGCAGGACAAGGGCACTGATGGACGTGCTCACACACACCCACACGTGTGACAATGGCAGGGTGCTACTCACACACATTGTGCCAACATCAATGCCGGGTTCGGCACAGTACTACCGTGAGGTAAGACGGAACCATCTTGGGAAACTGGAGGAAGGCACACAGGCCCTCTCTGTACTGTCTTTTCAACTTCCCGTAAGTCTACAATTATTTTAAAATTTAAACGCAAATGATACTACATCAAAGTGAAGAACTTCTGGGCTTCCCTGGTGGCGCAGTGGTTGGGAGTCCGCCTGCCGATGCAGGGGACGTGGGTTCGTGCCCCGGTCAGGGAGGATCCCACATGCCACGGAGAAGCTGGGCCTGTAAGCCATGGCCGCTGGGCCTGCACGTCCGGAGCCTGTGCTCCGCAACGGGAGAGGCCAAAACAGTGAGAGGCCCGCGTACCGCAAAAAAAAAAAAAAAAAAAAAAAAAAAAAGTGAAGAACTTCTGTGTATCAAAGGAAACAACAGAGTGAAAAGGAACTAGCCCTACAGAATGGGAGAAAATTACAGATCATGTAACCGATAAGGGTTAATATCCAGAATACGTAAAGAACCCCTACAACCCAACAACAACGAACAAGCGGATTAAAAAAACAGGCCAAAGACTTGGGACATGAAGATCAAAACCACAATGAGATACCACCTCACAGCTGTGAGGATGGCCAGGGTTAAAAAACAGAATAACAAGCACTGGTGAAGATGTGCAGAAACAGGAACCCTTGTGCACAGTTGCTGGGAGTGTTATATGGAGCAGCTGCTGTGGAAAACAGTATGGCGGTTCCTCAAAAAATTAAAAATAGAAATTACCTTATGATCCAGCAATTCCACCTCTTGCTACCTACCCAAATGAACTGAAAGCAGGGTCTCAAAGAGGTATTTGTACACCCACGTGCACAGCAGCATTTTTACAGTAGCCAAGGGGTGGACGGAGCCCAAATGCCCATCAACAGATGAATGTATAAACCTAAGGTGGTCCATCCACACAATGGAATATTATTCAGCCTTAAAAACAGGGAAATCCTGTCGCATGCTACAGCATGGATGAACCTGGAGGACGTTGTACTAACAGAAAGAAGCCAGTCACAAAAAAACAAATACCCTATGATACCACTGCTATGAGACGTCAAATTCATAGAGACAGAAAGCAGAATGGCCTTTGCCAAGGGCTGGGGGAGGGGTGGGGAGTCAGTGTTTACTAGGACAGAGGTTCAGTTTGAGAGGATGAGAAAGTTCTGGAGGTGCTGGGGTGATGGCAGCACGACACTGTGGATGGACCTCATGCTGCCAGACTGCACACTTAGACATGGTTAGGATGGTAAATTGTGTTATGTGCTTTTACCATCATTAAAACAAAGTTCACAGACAATTTAAAGGCCGCCTGCCGCCCACTCTGCCACTTTGCATTTTAACCTCCCCTCCCAGCCCAATGCCCCCTAGCACTGAGGGCACAGGGCCTCCGTAGCCAGGGGCTTACAGTCAGAAAAACCAAGCTGCCCATAAACAAAAGTCAGTGTAAACTGTGAGAAAGGCTTTGAGGGCGATGACAGAGCCTGAGGGAGAGGCCTGCCCGATTCGGGGTTGGGGAGGCGCATTAGGCTGAGACCTGATGAATGATGTGCAGAGGGGGCCGGATGGGAACAGCCCCGCCGCTGCACCTCACTTTCTGAGTGCTGCAGCCTCTGCCCGGAAGGCCTCCCAGGACCCTCTGACTAGGCTGGGCCCACCCTGGTCCTCAGCTCTCTGCACTGTCCGGTGGTACCCACATCTTCTCCTGCCCTCCCCCAGACTCTGAGCCCCTCACACTAGACCTGGGCAGGTACCACTAAAGGCCTGAGGGAGCCCTCAGGGGCGGGTCAGCTGAGGGGGCAGGCCTGGACTCTGCAAAGCGGGGGAGGAGGGGGAGAGGAGGGGGGGGGGGGAGGGGGGGAGAGGGGGGGGAGAGGGGGGGGGGGGGGGGGGGGGGGGAGGAGGAGGAGGAGGAGGATAGTACAGGGCGCTGAGGCAGAGGGACTTCCTGGAGGGCCTGCCCTGGGGCTGGGAGCCAGCTACGAGAAAGACGGGGTGCTCCCTTACGTTCAGCAGAGCTCAAGGGGCCACTGGGGATGGTGATGACCTGCCCCTGCAGCTTGCCTGCACATGACCCCCTCCTGGCCCCCCATACTCCGACCGCAGCCCGTGGCTCCAGGTCACCAGGGCAGAACACCCCAGTTCCCAGAGGAGTAAGTTCCCCAAAACTGATTCTAAACACTAACCTGAGGGTCCTACCCCTCAGGCTGCCTCAGGCGGAGCTTCCCGAAGCTGAGGTCCCTGGAAAGGACCCGCATTTACAAACACTGCAAATACCCACCCCCACAGCCGGAGCCTCTGTTTCTGGCTCAGATTTCCCTCTGTAAGTTTTCAAAATGCTCTGCTTCCTGCTGCCCACATGACCATGACTTGCTGGCTGACCTCACCCTCTCCTTGCCCCAGGGGTGGACAGGCAGCAACTTGCTGGATGACCCACCCTCACCCCACACTCAGGCACGACAGGCCGAGGGCCGGAGAGAGGGTAGAGCAACCCTGAATGGCCTGGTTCCAGCCAGATGGAGGCTGAGCTCAGGCCGGCCCCCAGCCCACCCTGCCTGGGGCTGCCCAGAGCAGCCACCTCATGGTGCCTGGCAGGTTCCCATGCCGGGTGCAAGAACACCAGCCTCCAACTCTGGACGCCCTGCAACAAACCATGAAGGACCAGGAGGTGGCAAGACAAGCTCTCCTGTCCAGCTCACCAGAACATTCTCATAGAGCGGTTGTTGGCCTGGGCTGTCACTTTAGTTCAAACGACCCTGGTCTGAGAGCGGCTTACAAGCCGCCGTCTGCTACAGCGAACTCAGCCCTCTGGTCCAGAGCCGACCCTCCTGCAAGAAAGCCGGCCTCGAGGAGTTCAGTGAGCTGCACAGGAGTCGCCCCAGGAACAGCAACTCAGAGATGATCACTTCCAAGCTGCCATTTTTAATACCTCTGAGAGTAACTAGCGTTTACCACCTTGTGACAGGTGGTGCTCGGGGCTGGAAGCATATTAGCTTTCCTGCTGGTGAGGAGCTTGAGGCACAGGAGGCTGCAGCACTTGCCTCTGCTGGTCCAGAGCAGAGTTCCTAGCACCAATGCCTCCAGTGCCCCCCTACCCCATCCACGCAAGGCCGTCTAAGGATCCTTCAAGGCTGGACTCTCCAGCTTCTGAAGGATTCTCCCACAAGATAAAGCTAAATTCGAAGCCTGCAGCTGTCCCCTGCAGGTCGACCCCGGTTCCTTCCCCAAGCCTCCACTCCCCACTCCGACTTACTTCCCAAATGCTCACTCCCTTTATCTTTCCCCTCTGTCCACCCGCCTGAGGATCATGCACTCTTCCAAGACTGGACCTAGTGTGACCTCTCCTGCTCTTGGGGTCCCTCACACCAGAGCACTGGGCCTGGTTTTCCAGGAGCCTGGAGCCAGGAGGAAGGAAGCTGCATCATGTACCTCTGAGTCCCAGGCAAACTGCATGCAGCCGAGTACACGACACGCACACAATAAATTATGTTTTAAGTCACTTAAGAGCAGCTAGTCACTTGTTATTAAATGCAAATGAACAAACAAAAAAGGTCGCAAAGGTTCTTTTAAGGGAATGAGTTTTAAGGGAAGAAATCAACAGGTTATTTCAAAAAAAGCCAACTCCTGTGTCTATGCATAAAGAAAAGTGGGAAACTCTTGAGCACATTCAGTCCCAAAATAAACCCCAATTCAACCTCGAAGCTTCCAATCTCTCTACCTGTCACCCTTAAAGCTAAGCCAGTTTCATACTTCTGGTTTGTAAACTTCAGATTACCTTCTTTTAAAGAGTAAAAAAGAAACAAATGTTGTGAGAACAAAACAACAAAGCATCCATATCCCCACCACTGCAAATTCTCCCCTTTCATGTCACTTCTCATGCAGACACAGAAAGCACTTCAGCAGAAGATCCCACTCAAGGAACAGACTTTGACCTCATTGTCTGATGCATTTCTGGGGGCTGGGGAAACCTAGATAAGTTCTGGACAAACAGCCTGATACTTGAGTCCTTCCTCATTAAACACCACACAAGTGTTTAATGGACAGATCTAGGATAGGAGGAGAAAAACGAAAAAACAATCACAAAACCGAGTAAGGCCAAGCAATCAACAAAAGAAATTCATTAACTCAAAATTAACACACACGGAAATTCACTTAAGGACGCAAACTTCTGTGCTGACCTGCAAAGCACATTTCAACCACTGTGCTTCAATTTCAATGAACTGCTAAGGGAAACTGAACGCACATATTTGTCATTCCTAAGGTCGCCCTGAAGGCTCCCTGTAAAGATGCAGCCCCCCAGATATTCCCACTGCAAAAGCAAACTCTGCAACCTAAGCTCTTAAAATCTCTTGGGGTTCAAAAGCAGTAAAAATAGTTGCTCGTGTATACAGTGTTCCAAAAAAAAAGAAAAGGAAAAGGTTACCTAAGCAGAAGACCATCTGCCGTCCCTTTAAATCCACTAAGAAATAAACTGTGAGGAGATAAATCAGCTTCATGCTACCGGGACTCTACAGCAGCGTGCGTGCGACTGGGCTCTCCCACGCTCCTTAACACCAAGATAATGGGCCGGCTCCTCGGCCCCGAGAGTCACTGGGCCGAGCGCCTCCCAGCGCCTCCCAGGACTCCAGAACCCCGGGGCCCAGGTTCCGAGCTCGCCCTGCCGTTTACCAAGCGGGACCCGAGGCGCGTTCCCGCCTCTGCCACTAGGACTGCCCGAGCACGGACTCGCCGCGTCCCCGCGGGCCCGGCTACCGGCACCGGCAACCGCGGCGCGGACCCGACCCGGCCCGCCTCTCCGTGGGCTCACCGCGCGGACGGCCGCGGGCCCAGCCCCGTTCAACAGCGGCGTGGCCTCCCCTGCCGGCGCCCCGGGCCCCGCCGCCCTCCGCAGCAGCGGCGCCGCCTCGTCGTCGTCCACGTCGCGTCCGGACCACGACACCTTTTTGGAGACGTTGGCCATGTCCCGCCGCAGACGACCGGCCAGGCAGCGCCTTGGCAGTGTTTGTTCTCGTGACCCGCGCCTCGGCCACATGACCCGGACGGCCGTCACGTGCCCAGACGGCACCCGCGTGCCCCGGCAGCGGCTGCGGGGGTGCGCGCGCGGCCTTCTGGGAGTTGTAGTCCCGCCGCCTGGTGGACCCGCCTGTCAGGACCGATCACCACGTAGCAAACGGTTGTGCTGAAGACACAACACAGCCCTGTGGCCTTCCTGCGGAAAACGCTCCACTGATCCCATCCCAGGGCGAAAATGCAGATGAACCCAAATTGAGGGACACGTGCTAAACAGCTAGCCAGCTCGTCTCGTAGTGTCAGCGTCACGAAAGACCAAGAAAGGCTGAGTGACTGCCTTGGATGGAAGATAAAGAGATGGGCAACTGAAGGCTGCTCGTGGGCCTGGCATTTTGGGGACAATTGGCAAAGATTGGATCTGCACTGTACATTACATAGCGGTGTTATAGCTGCGCCCAGTCCCCAAAGGGTGATCTTTGTCTGGGGGTCATATCAGAAAAGTCCTTTTTCTCAGTAGACATACACTGAGATATTCAGGGGTTGTGATGTGATGTCTGCAACGTAGTCTCAGATGATTCACAAGCTAATGGTAATCACAATACGTAGCTACCTATAGCGGGAGAAAGAAAATGTGGTAGGATGTTAGCAGGTGATGAATATGGGGTAAATATAAATGATGTGCAATGTAGTCCTCTTGTAACTTTTTTCTTTAAACTTGAAACTTTTCAAAATAAAAAGATTTTAGAAGTTCTTTATAGGCTCTTCCCCCACATATTTCAAAATAAAACCAAAATTGAAACTAAAATAAGAGGAAGGAAGCCCAACAGGATTAAGTTTTCCCACGATCACTGTGCAACAATTTTTTGAAAATACTAAGAACAACGTTCTTTCAGAAAAGGTGTTTTCTCCTTAGTGTGACCTGGCTTTGCCCTTTCGAGGGATGTTGACAAGTACGTGATGGCCCTGGCTGTGGAGGAGGGCCTGGAGGCTGCAGAGTGAAGCTGGCACTGGCTCCAACGAGCCTCAGGGCTGGTCCCAGGCTGGTTTGACTGAACGAAGTGGACGAGTGTGGTTTGCGTGAAACCGTCCAGGCAGGAGGAGGGCTGCACACAGCGATGGGGAAGTGAGAACAGTCCCGGGGACGGAGGGGTGGTGCTGGGGAAGCCCATCTGGATCCTTCTGTCCTCCCCCCACTCAGGAATGCAGCAGACACAGGTCAAAGGTGGGATTGATGGGGTTCAAGGTGGATGTGGCTCATGCCACTCACTCAGTGGGGATGGTGGATCTCATGAGATGCGTGCTCACACTCCCCTGCTCAAAACCTGGATGGGCTGCCCTCGACAGAGCCCAGACTCCTCAGCTGGACAAGCCAGCCCTTCCCAAATTCCTATCGACCTGAGCTCCCACGAAGCTCCTCCCCAAGCCCTTTCCCAGGCTGCCCTGCCCTCGTGGAGACTCTCAGATGCGATGCGGCTGGCCACCCACAGCCATGATGCTTCTGCCAAATTCCCACTGTCTTAGGGTCTGTGAACCTTGGCAGAAATGCTGCTGTAGAAGTGAAATACCTGGGTCCCCCATGGTGTTGTAAGCACCCGAAAGCGGGGGAGGGGAGGGTGGGAAATACCCTGTGTGGTCTTTTAGTGCTAGGCACCTCAAGAAACACTTCCTAATCAAATTAACAGTCTTCCCCCCAAAAGATGTCATCTCTCCCACCTCAATAGAGTGAGACAGAGCAAGGGCTCCAAAATAGGCCAGAGGAGCCTGGGAAAGAGGACGCTTTGAGAAGGGCAGCTCTCCATGAAGATGGATGCGTCCTGGGGAAGTGCCAGGGGAAGCAGAAGTCCGTGATTACAGGACCTTCCCGTGGCCACCCAGGGGTGTTTCCAGACCTAGGATGCATCCCCTGACCTTGACTCACGGACCAGGGGTGGGGGTTGGGGGGCGGGCAGGTGGTGGCTGGCCAAGTCTCTGAGCTGAAGGCCTGGGATTGCTGGGGCCACAGACAGCTCTGCAGAGATGGGAGCACTGCTAAGAGGCCCCAGAGACTGATTTCAGGCCCCTCTCCATGGAGCAGTGCCCTCTGGCCACCTCCTCGATGCAGAGCTGAAACCAGGCCCCTTGCGGTTCCGTCAGACCTCTCTAGTTTGTTTCCTCACTTTTTTTTAAAAAGTTATCTTTTCCAACTTTAAAAAAATTAATTAATTTATTCATATTTGGCTGCATTGGGTTTTCGTTGACGCACGCGGGCTTTCTCTAGTTGGCGAGCGGAGGCTACTCTTTGTTGTGGTGAACAGGGCTCTAGGCACGCAGGCTTCAGTGGTTGCAGCACGTGAGCTCAGTAGTTGTGGCTCGTGGGCTGTAGAGCGCAGGCTCAGTAGTTGTGGCGTGCACGGGCTTAGTGGCTCCATGGCATGTGGGATCTTCCCGGACCAGGGCTCGAACCCGTGTCCCCTGAATTGGCAGGCGGATTCTTAATCACAGAACCACCAGGGAAGTCCGTTGTTTCCTCACTTTTAAAATGGATTGGGGACTTCCTGGTGGCACAGTGGTTAAGAATCCGCCTGCCAATGCAGGGGACACGGGTTCGAGCCCTGGTCTGGGAATATCCCACATGCCACGGAGCAACTAAGCCTGTGCACCACAACTACTGAGCCTGCACTCTAGAGCCCAGGAGCCACAACTACTGAGCCTGCATGCCGCAACCACTGAAGCTTGCGTGCCTAGAGCCCGTGCTCCGCAACAAGAGAAGCCACCACAATGAGAAGCCCGTGCACTGCAATGAAGAGTAGCCTCGCTTGCCGCAACTAGAGAAATCCCGCGCGCAGCAACGAAGACCCAATGCAGCCAAAAATAAATAAAATAAAAATAAATAAATTTGCTTAAAAAAAAAAGAATATTAAAAAAAAAACATGATTCTATCATACAACCCAGCAATTCCATGGCTAGGTGTCCACTCAAGAGAAACAGAAGCATATGCCTACACAACCCTTCACATGAGACTGTGCACAGAATCTTCACTCACAAGGGCCCCCAACTGGAAACCACCCAAGTTTCCATTGACTGATGTACAAAACAAACAAAACAAAACATGGTCCATTACAACAGAAGGTCATTCAGCCATACAAAGGAACACAGCACTGACACACAACAACACAGATGAAACTATAAAACACGATACTCGGTGAGAGACGCCAGACACCAAGGATCACACAGTGAATGAGTCCATTTATGTGAAACGTCCAGAGCAGGCAAATCCACAGAAACGGAAAGCAGGTGAGTGGGTGCAGAGCTGGGGGAGGGGCTGGGTGGGGACAGGAGTGACCCCTAACAGGCATGATTTCTTGGGGGGGGCAATGGAAATGTTCTAAAACTGGATCGTGATGATGGTTGCACACTCGACAAATTTACTGAAAATCTTTGAACTGCACATTTAAAATGGGTGAATTTCATAGTATGTAAATTATACCCCAATACAGACTCTTTAAAAGCATTGCCCACCCGGGCTTCCCTGGTGGCGCAGTGGTCAAGAATCTGCCTACAAATGCAGGGGACACGGGTTCAAATCCTGGTCCGGGAAGATCCCACATGCCGCGGAGGAGCTAAGCCCGTGCGCCACAACTACTGAGCCCGCGTGCCACAACTACTGAAGCCTGCACACCTAGAGCCCGTGCTCTGCAACAAGAGAAGCCACTGCAATGAGAAGCCCGCGTGCCACAACGAAAAGTAGCCCCCACTCGCTGCAACTAGAGAGAAAGTCCACACACAGCAATGAAGACCCAATGCAGCTAAAAATAAATAAATTAATTTTTTTAAAAAAAGCATTGCCCACCCATCCTTAATGTGTGTTTCTGAGTAGCTTGCTCCCTCTGCAGGCCCCCTTCCCAGCAGCTCTAGTGGCCTTACCAGCTGCCACAGAACCTTGATGGAACCCCCAGGGCGAAGGAGCTGTGGGGCCAGGAAATGGACTCCCCAGCCCTTCTCATGAGAGATGTTGGAACAAGGAGCAGTCAAAGAGAAACTTTCTCAAGCCACGTGGAGAGAGGACCACAGAAGTTAATGCAAGGAAAATAAGAGTTCTCCAGGAGCCAGCCTGTGGTTGCCCCAAACCCATGCCCAAGGAGAGGCAGAGCTGAAGCGCAGCTCTGCCACGTGGCAAGTTGGGCCGTGTTGAAATGACTTCCTACTATGGGGGGGGTGTTGGTTGGTGTAAGAATGCCACAGAGAGGGAAAGAATGCAGTCGTGGGGATCCTGAGGCCCGGCTCTGCCTGTGAGCCCTCCCCCCACCCTGTGGAATACTCATATCCTATGTTAGAGAGCAGGTGTGCCTGGCCCAGGCTGGAGGCAGCAGCCTGATCCTCAGTGTGGGTGGGGGGCCCTCTATGGAGTGTGCTGGGGTCGGGGGTGGCCGAGAGTGGCTGAAGACTTGCTCTTCCCGCCGGCCCACCGTGTGAGCACAGCTGCTGTGTAGCGAGGCCTCAGGAACAGAGCTGTAGGCAGGTGCAGTTCACCCTTTGCATGAATCCATCTACCGATGCGGCATTGGCCAGTGTTAGGATGGCACCCATCAGGAACTCCTTCCCAGTGGCCAGGTTTGAGACCTCCCTGGGGACCAGCACCTGGTGCCATATGGCCAGGCATGCTAGGCTCCCCACAAATGCCTCAGGGCCATCAAACCCGCCCCCAATGCTGTCATGCTCCTGGCCTAGCATGAGGGAGCCCCCTGGAGGAATCTCATAGCCTTCCCCAAAGCGGGAGCCAGTGGCCACTAGCCTTCGGCTCATGTGGAGCCAGTACCTGCCCAGGCCCAGAATGGACGTCCAGATGACACACACATGGTGCCAACAGCCGTCTGGCAGTGGCTGGAGGGGCAGCTCCCTGAAGGCTGGGTCTCCAATCACAGAGTGGGTGGAGCCGGGGGGCAGGGAGTCTCGGCCATGCAGAACCAGCTTGTCATTTTCTTTGCTGGTGTACGAGAGGAGGGTGCCCAGGTGGCCCAAGGCTGTGCGGACCCAGCTGCAGACAGACAGGGCCCGTAAGCCAGTGAAGAAGCCGGGTGGAAGAAGATCACATTCACAGTGGACGCGTTCGGAAAGGTGAGTGCAGGGCCCACGTTGCAAACTAGAAACAGAGGGGGGAGAGTCAGCCCACACCGCAAGGGGCAGCGGCTCACTTATTCTCACGTGATCAGCCTCTTACTGGTGGGAGGACTGAGAAGCAGGACACCTGGCTGAGCCACACTCCTCACCAGCAGGGGGCCCTGGATGAGTGTCTGTGGCTGCTGGAACAAATCCCCACAAACACAGTGGCTCAAAACAACACAAATTTAGCATCTCACAGTCTGGAGGTCAGAAGTCCCTGCAGGTTTCCCCGGGCTTAAAATCACAGTGTGGGCTGAGCTGGTTCCTCTGGAGGCTCCAAGGAGAAGCCCTTTGCTGCCCTCTGACGTCAGCTCCTGCCCTTGTATCTGCATCCCTGACTGAGCCTCCTGCCTCCCTCTTATAAGGACCCTGTGATGACACTGGTCCACGGGATAATCCAGGATCAGCTCCCATCTGAAAATCCTTAATCACACCGGAAAGTCTTCTTGTCACATGAAGTGACACATTCACAGGGTCTGGAACCAGGACATGGACATCTTTGGGGGCTTCCTGCTGACCAGACTTCCGGCCAGATCTGCTTGCCAGAAGGGTAGGCGGGGCAGGGGTGGGGCACCCAGCCAGAAGCTGGGGGCAGAGCCAGGGAACGCGCTTTTCTAGCCCACTGGCCCCTTGGGTTCCAGGGTGGAGGGCGTTCTGTGGCCAGCCCCCACCTCCTCTCTTCACCTGGGGGCTCTTGTCATAATCTTTGGCAGTGGTCCTCAACTGGAGATGACTGTACCCCTGGGGGACATCTAGCAGCGTCTGCGGACAGTTTCGGTTGTCAGAACTTTGGTGGCCCCCAAACCTACAGCCCCCCTTTCCCGGGACCCCTGGTGGTGCCCTCCAGGTCAGCCCTTCAGCCCTGTCTTACTGGTGAGGCCCCTAGAACCACACAGATGGGGAGGGACCTGCCTCAGATTAATGGGCCCTGTGGGCTGCAAGGCCAGACAGGGAGCAGCCTGGTCACAGCTGAGAGTTCAAGCTGAGCGGGCATCTAGTAGTTGGAGGCCAGGGATGCTGCTTAACACCGTTCAATGCCCTGGACGCTCCTACAACTAGGGACTACCCGACCCCAGACGCCAGTACAGTAGTGCCGCCATAGAGAAACCCTTACCTGCAGATGAGAGGTGGCAAAGCAGAACCGGCTTTGCAAAGGCCGGGGGGCCTCCATTGGTGGGCACAGACCCCATGGGATGCAGGCCGGGGCCCTGCAGAGAGGGTTCCTGCTGGCTATGGCTGAGGACGTCCTTGGGACCCCACCAGCCCTGACCAGGGTGATCACCAACTCTGAGTGGGCATTTACTGCCTGCGGGCAGCACCCCACTGGTGTGTGGCCTGACCTGCAGGCAGGCCATCACCTGGACGGTTCCTTTCTTTAAGGGCGGGTTTTGTGGGGTGTAAAGCAGTGTATTCTCCGCTCAGCCTGGGGAGAAGTCCTCCTGGAAGGGACTGGAGGCCTAAGGAGGCAGCAGAGGGAAAAGTGGACACTGATGGGGAAGGGCAGGCCACGGTGCTTACTCTCTCCTGGGCTCTCGGTGGGCCACATCTGCTGGCTGCCTGGGCCTGGGGACAACTGCGTCTCTTGGAGACAGCGAGCGAAGTCCAGAGGTGGGTCCCCGAGCTCAGGCGGAGCTCTGGGTGCCTGCCTGCCTGCCTGCCTGCAGCTGTGGGGAGCTTAGGCTCGATGGTCTAGGTGGGGCCGGGGTCACGCGCAGGGCGGCGGTGGCAGGGCTGGCCACTTGCAGCAGCCCCTTGAAAGCTGCCAGCCCGGCACCCTGGCTCTGGACGAGGGGCATCAGGCGAGCCAGCATGCCGTGCACGGCCCGCACGTCCAGGGCCAGCCAGAGAGGGCGTTCCTCTGCTCCTCCTGCCCCTTCCTCTCCTGGGTGCTCCTCTCGCTCAGGGCGGCGCCCAAGGCCAGCAGCCTGTTGTCCACCTTCTGGCCTCTGCACTGAGTCTTCCACACCCAGGTCTTGAGGTGGCCCAGGTCGCCCTGCATGGTGGCCTGCAGCTGGCTGAGTGCCAGGGCCACGGCCTGGCTCTCGTGGGCCAGGCTCCAGAACCAGGCCTCCATGACGAAGGACAGGTTGTAGTTGCTGGCGATGCCCTGCAGGTGCTTTAGGGTTGCCTCTTGGAACCTCCAAAACTGTAGCGAGGGCACAGGCACTCCTGGGGATTAGAGCCTCAGGGCAACGCGGGGAGGCGGCTGATCACTGCCACTAGCCCCCTTGCACCAAGCTAGAGCTCGCAGCGGCAGACAGCCCCAGGCCTGTGCTGCAGTGGGTGAGGGCGTCACAGGCGGCTCCCATCCCTCCCCGAGCGCCACACTCTTTACCCCTCGACCCTCAGGGTCCTACCTGCCAGCGAGATGGCTGTGCATGGGGATCAAAGTGGGGAGTGCTTGGCGCAGCCCTGATGCCTGCAGGGCATCCGGGAACTGGCCACGGACCCGCACAGGAGTCTCTGCTCTGTGGGGGACCCGGGACATTGCTCCCCATGCCCAGCGGGCTGGCCCCCACCACCCCAGCACACCTGCAGCTACACTCCTCAGGTGATCCCCCAGCTCCACCCACCCTCAGCTGGCTCGGCTTTAGAACAAACTCCCCAAACCCATTTTGCTATTCCAGCCATAGGTGAAAACAGGCAGCCGATAAGAACTGCAAACTCTACGCTGAGCCCACAGAGCACAGAAGCTTACTACTGTTTCTATGACTTCTGTGCTTTGTCTGGTGTCAGTTAAAAAAACTCTACTGCCCCCAACAGTGGGTATACTCACCTGTGCTTCTAGTCTACAGAGCCTCTCAAGGAATGGTTTTCTTTGCCTCTCAGGTGCGGTTTCTTGCAACAAAGCCCCACGTAGATATATGGGCACAAAAATGAGGAAGAAAGGCAGGGTTTCCTCCCCAGGCAGCCCATTCTGAGAAGGAGCGAGAGGCACCCCGGCTGCAGGAGAAGCCATCTGCTTGGAGCTCCTGCCTCCCCCACGCTTGCCCACCTCTCCTGGGCAGTGGTTTTCCTTCTTCCTCTCTGGCTTGGAGTCAGGTACCCCCTGACACCTTAACAAAAGGCATTTGCTCTGGAGACTTGGAGGTTCCCAAGGACACAAGCTTAAAACAGATGCAAACAGTTTCTTTGGAAAATAACTCTACTGGGTGCAAGCCCTGGTCCAGCTGGCTCAGAGGCAGACAGGGGCGATTGTTTTAGCAGGAGCACACGGACTCATGTTCCCACCAGAGAAGTTGAAGCAGGACACGGATCCCAGTGGGGGCAGGGGAGTCCTTAGAGCCAAGTCTGCATCAGGGACAGCAGATCCGATGAGGCCCCTCTCTCGCCCTTGGACAAGGCAAAGGAAATGGGATTGGAGCCACTTAAATTTGTCTTGGGGCCCAGGTTGTGTAGTGGGCTGAGTGGTAGGTCTCAGTCCTAACCCTGGTGCCTGTGAATGGGAGTTTATTTGAAAAAAGGGTCTTTGCAAATGTAATTAAGGATCTTGAGATGAGGTCATCTTGGATTATCCATATGAGTCCTAAAGTGTCTTTCTGAGACAAAGAGAAGATCACGTGGGGAGAAAGCCATGTGAAGATGGAGGCCGAGGCTGGGGTGAAGCTGACACAGGAGCACAAGGAGCTGGGCGGGGCAGGAAGGATCCTCCCCAGGAGCCTTCGGAGGGAATGTGGTCCTGCTGACACCTTGATCTTGGATTTCTGGCCTCCAGAGATGCAAGGGAAAAATGTTCTTGCTGTTTTAAGCTCCCCTATTTGTTGCCATTGGTTACAGCAGCCCCCGGAAACAAACACAGGCTGTCTAAGTAAATAGGGGGCGTGGGACCTCATTCTAGGGCCAGGTCCATGGACAGTTGTGACCCAGTGAGGGGAGCAGGATAAAACCATGGTCAAGGCCAAGACTTGCAGTTAAACAAGATGGCTGTGCAGAGAAGCTGGTCTCCTCTCACTCCTCAAGCGTCACTTTGATGGCAGCAAAGGAACAAAGCCTGAAGGAGACACAGGGCAAGGAGAGCAGGCAAGGAGAACTGACCCGGCGGAGCAAAGAGAACTGCAGAGGGGAGCCCGAGGGGCAAGCAGCGTGTCGGTGTCCTGGGGCTGCTGCACCCGATGACTACCCTGGGGGGTGGGAGCAGGAATTCATTCTCCCACGGCTCTGGAGGCCGCAAGTCAGAAATCAAGGTGTCAGCGGGACCACACTCCATCCGAAGGCTCCTGGGGAGGATCCTTCCTGCCTCATCCAGCTCCTGCTGTTCCTGTGGCAGCATCACCCCAACCTTGGCCTCTGTCTTCACACGGCCTTCTCCCCTGTGTGTCTCTCCTCTTCTGTCTAACAAGGACACCAGTCATTGGATTCAGAGCCCACCTGGATAATCCAGGGTGATCTTATCTTGAGATCCATAACTTAGGTACGTCCGCAAAGATCCTTTTTCCAAATAAGGTCACATTCACAGGTACAGGGATTAGGACTTGGACGTGTCTTTTTGGGGGCCACCATTCAGCCCATTACAGGGAGGTTTGAGAGGTTGGGGGGTGTCCAGGGATGGTGGGGGGCTGGGGCGAGGTGCAGGCTGGAGTGAAGAGACTCATGTCAGTCTGGATACAGAGCTGCCGGACCCCTGTCTCCTCCCTGACCCCCTGTGCTGGGCGACTGCTCCTGCACACCAGCCCAGCCCCAGCACGTGGTCCGCTGGCTCTCTGGAGGTGCACTATCCAATACCAGAGCCCCAGCCACACGCAACTGTTGAGCCCTTCATGAGGCTAGTCTGAGTGGAGATCCGCTGCAGGTGAAAAGTGCACACTGGATTCAAAGACTTAGTACAAAAAAGGAATGTAAAATACCTCACTATCAACAGATTTTATGTGTGATTACATTTTTAAATTTATTTATTTATTTATTTGGCAGCACCAGGTCTTAGTTACGGCATTCGGGATCTTTGTTGCTGCATGTGGGATCCAGTTCCCTGACCAGGGAGGGAGCGTGGAGTCCTAACCACTGGACCACCAGGGAAGTTCCATGATTACATGTTGAAATGGTAGTATTGTGGATGGACTGGGTTAAATAAAACACATTATTAAAATTAACTTCAGGGGCTTCCCTGGTGGTGCAGTGGTTAAGAATCTGCCTGCCAACGCAGGGGACACGGGTTCGAGCCCTGGTCTGGGAAGATCCCACATGCCGCAGAGCAACTAAGCCCATGCACCACAGCTACTGAGCCCGCATGCCACAACTACTGAAGCCTGCACGCCTAGAGCCCATGCTCTGCAACAAGAGAAGCCACCGTAATGAGAAGCCCGCACACTGCAACAAAGAGTAGTCCCTGCTCGCTCCAACTAGAGAAAGCCCATGTGCAGCAGCAAAGACCCAACTCAGTCAAAAATAAATAAATAAATAAACAAATAAATAAATATATTTTAAAAAATAAAAAAAAAATAAAATTAACTTCAGGACTTCCCTGGTGGTCCAGTGGTTAAGAACCTGCCTTCCAATGCAGGGGGTGTGTGTTCAATCCCTGGTTGGGGAACTAAGATCCCACATGCCGCGGGGCAACTAAGCTCATGCACTCTGGGGCCCATGCAATGCAACTACTGAGCCCGCGCGCACTGGAGCCCACGCGCCTCAACTAGAGAGAAGCCTGCATGCTGCAACTAAGACCCAAAGCAGCCAAATAAATAAATAAATAAAATTAACTTCACCTGTTTCTTTTTACTTTTTTTAGTATGGCTATAAAATACTTAAAATTAAATATGGGACTCACGTCATAGTTGGATTGGACAGCGTTGCACTGGAGAAAGACTCCAGGTCTGCAGGCCCCCGGGCACAGAGACAGGGGCTTTCCTTTCAATCTCTTTCATCATCCATTCTTTTTAAAAAAAATTTAGTGGAAAGCATACATATCATAAAATTCACTCATTTTAAGTGTAATGCTAACAACAAGGTATTGAAATAAATGTCTACCTATTGGACTGTGGGAGTCTGAGGGTTCTGCCAGCTTCTGGAAAGCAGCAGCCACAGCCAGGCACCTGCCCCCAGGCTGGAGAGGGGAGGGAGCTTCTTTAGCCCCAGCAGAAAACCTGCACTTACTGACAGGCAAGAGCTTCCCTGCACCCCACCAAACAAAATCCCATCCACAGGTGAGACAGAAATCTGCCCAAACAGAAAAGAAACTGGGAGACGTGCAGAGGGCCAAGGAAAGGCTCAAAGGCATTCTAAATAATACCCTCAGAGAGATAAGAAAAGCTTTGTGTCCACAAGGCAAGAAACGGGGACTTCCCTGGCGGTCCAGTGGTTAAGACTCGGCGCTTCCACTGCAGGGGGTGCGGGTTTGATCCCTGGTCAGGGAATTAAGATGCCGCATGCCTCACGGCCCAGCCAAAACAAACAAACAAAACAACAACAAAAAAACACAAGGCAAGAAACGATGCTATGAAAAAAGAAATAATCAGAAAGGAAGAAGTTGCTCTTGGAAATGAAAATTATGATTTTCCCCAAAATCAAAAAAGTAATAAAATGACTAAATAAAAAAATAAAATAAAATGCAAACAAATAGATAAGTATAACAGAAAAGCTAAAAGGCAAAATTAAGGCAATTTGTCAGAAAGAAGGCAAAAAGGCAAAGAGATAGAAAAGAGGAGAGAAAACATTGGATTGAGATCAATCTTAGAGAGTGAGAAACTTAGAGAGTGAGACTACAAGATATAGTGGAGGAAATTTTAGGAAGATAATACAGGAAGGTGCTGCAGACAAGGGCACCCATCATTTCAAGACCACATGGCAGAGCGCCAGGTCAAGGAACGGGGCCTGACTCCAAAGCTCATCTTGCCAAGTGTCAGACACCACAGATGAGATCCTAAACGTGTCCAGAGAGAAAAACCTGGTCACATGCGAAGGATTGGGACTTTCTCCAGAGGGCTGTGGGCCACCTCAGCAGCAAAGCTGGCTGCCAAAGACAGAGGAGCAAAGTGATTTTCATTTAAAATTAAGCAGTCAGAGTGGGTGGTTAGCCCAGATGGTTAGAGGGTAGTGCTGATAAAATTGTGCATCTAGCTCAAATGTGAATCCACCTGGAGCAAAGAATAAAGGCATTTTTCAGATATGCAAAGGCTTAAGAAATTTATCCTCTGTGCAGGATCTCTTGAGAAGTTACTGGGTAACAGGATTCAGGAAAATGTGGGGAATAGAGAAGGGAGGAAGCTGTAATAGGAACCAGGAGTGAGAGCCCTAGTCCAGGAGCGGCCCGGGAGAAGTTCTCGGAGAGTCCCAGCAAGGCATCATCCTCCGCTCCTCGCTCCCTCGTACCCACGTCCAACACATCCGGTCCAGCCCAGGTCAGCTCCTTCTCACCACCTGGCCCACCCTTGTCCACGCACCGGACGCCCCGCGGGGCTTTCTGCATCCGCGGTTGCCCCCTACCGTCCATTTTTCTAACTGCACCCAGGGTGGAGCTTTTAAAAGGAGACCGCTCTTGGTCACTAATTTTCTTCCTCTCCCTAATTTTTCTTACCATTATCTGCCATCTGATGTATTGTACGTGTACTTTATTTGCCCCCTTGACGTGTGAACAGGAACTTTGCTTCATTCTGTGCCCTGGAAGAGTGCTTGCTGCCTCAGCAGGCAATTAGTTAATGTATGTTGAATGAATAAATGTTTTCCATGTCACCTCAACGGCCTTCTGGGCTGAAACAGTACCTCTTTGAGAAGTCTTCCCAGATCGCTCCCCAAGGTCGCCATAGGACGTTCTGCCAAGACTGAAGGTCCTATATCTACGCTGTGCATTGTGTCAGGTGGCTATCGAGCCCTTGACACGTGGACAGTGCAACCAAGGAACTGACCTGGTGGCTGGTGGCTACCGTGCTGAACGGTGAAGCACCTGTCCCAGGACATCCATCAATACCCGAAATCACCCCAGTTGCGACTTCTTCCTAGTCTGTGGCCCGTTTCCCTGCAAAGGTCGTGGCTTGCGGAGAGCGGGCCATACCTCTGGGCGGGCGGCGAGGCCGCACACGCGTTTGGTGCCCAGTAGGAGTTTGTGGAGGCACGCACGTGTGAGCTCAGGAGAGATTGGGGCTCGCGAGCGGGGGAAGGGCGGGAGGAGGTCACTCCGGGAAGACCGACGCTGAGGCTGAGGGAAGGCAGGCGGGCGCAGAAGTGCTGGACTCCAAGCCACCTGCCGCGCAGCCCAAAGCACACTGCCCCGCCCACCAGGAACCACGCCCACTCGGGCCCCGCCCCCATGTGCCCCGCCCCGGCGCAGGCGCAGATACAGCCGCCTGTCCCACGCGTCTTCCGGCTCGCAGGTTCGCCGCAGATTCGTCACCAGCTGCCCCTAGTACCGGCGCCACAGGCTCAAAAAATTCAGCACCAGCTCTACCAGGGCCCCGGGAACTTTTGCTCTGCGGCCGCGTGAGCTGGACCGCGAACCGAGCGCAGAGCTGGGCCGCGGGGGCTGTGGCGAATCGGCGACGGGTCGGTATTGGCGGAGTGAGCGGGACGCAGCGCGGGGTGTCGACTCTGCGGATCCGGCGGGTGCGCGCTTCCGTGTGACCGCTGCCCGTCCGGAGGTCCCCGCCCGCCCCGACACCCCATCCTGTCCCCCGAGGACCGCTGCCCGCCGCGCCACTAGGTGGGCTCCGGGCGCACGCTGGGGAGCGGGCGCGGGGCCGGGCGATCGCTAGCCGGTCTCCACACCCCAAGAAGGAGCCCGCGTGGACCGGGCTGGGCGAGGAGGCCCAGGCCATTGGGGACACTTCTTGGGCCCCTAGTGCATCCCGACCTAGTGGCTGGGTGCACTGGTGACAGACAGGTGTCTACTTAATGGCGCTCGTGCTGCAGGGGCGCCCGACCCGAAGTAAATGCAACCTGCAGATGGTTTTGGTTTCTGGGAAGGAAGGGAGCTTGGCAAGGTGAACCACAGGTGGATACGTCAGGGAGTTAGAAGTGCTGATGGGTCTCCCAACCTCAGCTCCCTTGACATTTGGGTTTGGATACTCCTGTTGTGGGGGCTGTCCTGCGTAATGGGGTATATGGGATGTTTACCAGCATCCCTGGCCTCAACCACCCACTAGAGGCAGAGTAGCACCTCCGGTTGTGACATCTAAGGTGTCTCCAGACACGGGTCCCTGGGGCGTGGTTGCCCTTCTGCAGAGGGCACCATGGAAGCCTTGGACCATGAAACCTTCCCTCGTCGAGGGTGGGAGAGCGGGCTTTCTGAGAATATGTGAAAAGTGCTTCCTTATCCGAGACTGAGTCCCACGTGGATGATGACAGCTCCCTGGACTTCCTTTCTCACGTGCCTTTCCTGTGAACTCCAGGATGGATCCTGAGGTCTCTGCCGTCCGGCTCACCGTCTGGGAGGCTGTTCACATCCTTTCATCTTCTGAGGATGGGGGCCGCATCTTCTGTACCCTGGGGTCCCTGAAGCGCTATCTTGGTGAAACGGAGAATCCAGCCCTCCCTGAGGAGCAGGAGGAGTTTGCCAGGATCCACTTTTCCACCTTTCTCAGATGTCTGGTCGGCAAGCTGAGCCCCGACTGGCTGGAGCTGCTGCCTGATGGCCAAATGGAGGAGCTGTGGGCCAGCTTCTTCCTGGAGGGCCCGGCTGACCAAGCCTTCCTGGTGCTGATGGAGTCCATCGAGGGTGCTGCCAGGTGAGCTGGGCTGGGTCTGATTATGGGGTCGCTTTAACACCTGAAGGATTTCGAACCAACGGGTTCTCCAAATTCTGTGAGAGTTTGGCATCCTGAAAGGTGAAAGAATAAAACCTATGCACGTCAGAGCACTGAACTAAAAGCGGGTTGTGTTAATCTCCTGCGATGGGAAGGCCCTAGCCTTCTGTCTTGCCATGTGGGCCAGGGGGCAGCAGGAGTGTTTGCATCCGGGCTTATGTGGTCTAGGTAGGCAGTGGGCGTGGCCATCCTCCTGGGGCCCCTTCACTCTGTGGCCCCCAGCTCTGTGTGAGGCACCCCAGCAAACTCATTCCCTCAACATCAAGCCCACCATGGTCCTTGCGGGGAAGCTGTGTCATTGGGAAGCTGGATTTTCAGCAGTTGCTGTGGAAGTCAGTGGGTCCGGTGATTCCAAGGTGGGGAAGCTGCGTGGGGCTGGCAGGCTTTCATGCCCCTCCTAGGAAGCGAGGCTGTTTACACCTGCTCTTGGTTCAGCCCCAGCTTCTGTCTGATGAAGATGGTGCAACTGCTGGCCAGGTTCCTGAGCGTGGGCAGGATGGCCGCTGTGATGGAGGGGCAGTGTCGGCAGCAGGCAGGGCCAGCCTTCCCCCTGCTCCAGGAGACACTTCTCACCAAGGTGGTGGGCCTGCCCGATCGCCTGGGCAACCGTCTGCAGCGGGAGAACCTGGCCACATTCTTCCCTCAGAACTACTTCCCTCTGCTGGGCGAGGAAGTCCTGCGGGTGCTGCAGGTGGTCGTGGACTCTCTCCGAGGTGAGAGCCCCTCTTCTAACAGCCTCCTCAGGCCATCGTCCCCTCCCTCCCTCCCAGGGCTCCGAGGACTTTGCCATCTCTGGCAGTGCCATCGTCCAGTCAGACGTTATCACATGTCTGGGGCGGCAGCCACCCAGCCGTGAAGTTTCACCCACAGCTCTGCTGCCTTGGAGGTGGAGCTGACCCGTAAGCCCTGCAGTCCTTGGTTGGATGTCCAGGTGGGGCTGCTCACCGCCCGGCCCCTCACTCAGAATAAGGGAACGTCCACAGTCTGGAAACCAAAAAGCTCTTACTGTGAGGAGGGTCCGTCCAAGGTGGCTGCCGGCTGCGGTGCCCATGGCCTTGTCATCGTGGGTGGAGGACCTCGGTGCTCTGGTGTCTGGTGGTGGTGCTGGGGGCCGACTCTGAGGGAGCTCTCTGCACCTGGGGGCCATGGGAGCAGCTTCCTGCCCACCCTCTCCACTAATCATGGTCTCTGGAACATTAGGGACGTGGCTTCCCCACGTGTGTGTTCCAAGAGCCGAGAGAAGCCAGGGGCCATGGCGGCCTGAGTGGGGGTGGGCGTCAGGTGGTGAACAGCGGGCGGGCTGTCCGAGCCACTGCCCTTTCCCCCAGTGAGGCCCTGCCTTCCCTGCGGCCCCGGCCCCTGCACTGCCCCCACCCTGGCCCGAGCCCCTCATCTCGCCTGGATTCTTACACAGTCTCCCACGTGCCCTCCTGTCTTGTCTGAGCTGAGCAACTGCATGATGCTGTTACCATGAGCCACACTCAGAATCTTCCAGCATCTCTGCTCCCGCCTCCTCCCAGCTCTGGACTGGCGGGCGTTCCTGCTTGGGACGCCCCATGCTCTGGCCTCAAGTGCCTCTTCTCAGGGCCGCCTTTCTGGTCACCCTGTTTAGTGTCGTAGCTGCTGGCTTGTCCTCTCCCTGGAACTGGCCATCCTCTACGGTGCTCAGAGGGGCCCCGCCCTGTTGTCCGACTCCCCCCCCGCCCCCGGAGTGAGCTGTGGGCTGGGGCTTGTGCGCACTGCCGACCTGGCGCTCAGAGTGGTGGCTGATGCAGGCCGGTGGTCCTCACGGGTGTTGAGAGAAATAGACCTAAGTATTGTGTCCTTGGGGCTGGAGTTGTGCCCACACCTCGCAGACTGTTCTGCCTTCGTGGACGCGGGTCGTGAGAGGTCGCCTGTCTGCCCACGGTTAACCGCACATGGCGAGTGGCTGCCCTGGGAGACGGCCAGGTGGCACTCGGCAGGGGGCCGCAGGGGTGAGGCCTGTGCTGCTCTGTGGGGCCCCCTTGTGTCTGCACACCCCTGCTCCCCCTGCTGTGTCCCTGAGCATTACTGTCTCGGGGGAGGGAACCACGCCGGGGGATGTGTGCGCCTGCGTTTCTCCAGCCAAAGTGTCCAAGCGGGGTTCCAGCTGGGCCGCCCAGCCCCTGCTCTGGCTGGGAGGGGCGGCCTGCCCGGGTGTCCTGAATGCCTCTGGAGCAATGTCCCCTTCATCCTGTGAGTGGCTGCGTTGAATTCTGTCTTGGCAGGATCCCAAATGCCCATCTTTAGATCTCAGATACTGCGTTTGCATCATGCGCGGGACCATCTGTCTCCTGGTCGGTCCCATCACCCCTGGCTCCTCTGGGGCTGCTGCCGCCACCCACCCTCTCCTTGTTCCTCCGTCCTCATTTCCTCCCTGTGGTGCTTAGAGCCCCTCCTCTTCACTGGGCCCCTCTGGTGCTGCCGCCTCCTGGTGCCCTGCAGTGGTCCCTGCTTTGTAGGATCACTGTGAACATAATGCTTTTTAAATGATTATTTTCATTGGCTCTTTGAGTTGGAAACAATGCTGGTGCGGTTGGAATTAGACTGAACAAGTTGGCAGTTTTACAACGTGGGATCCGCCTGGAACAAGGTCTGTCTCTGCTCAGCCAGGTGCACGTTGATGGCCTTACCACCGTCTCCTTCCTGTCCCAGGTGGCCTGGACTGCTCCGTCTCCTTCCTGTCTCAGGTCCTGGGGAAAGCCTGCGTCCACGGGAGACAGAGTGAGCGTTCGTCGCGGGAGAAGCTGCGGCACGTCCCGGGAGGGGTGGGCTGTGTGGATCCCTTGTGGGGAGTTGCTGAGGTCCCCTTGCCTGGGTCTGGCCCTGCTGGGCCCCTGGGTAGGGGCTTGGCTCTGTGACAGGTGGGCCTGTGGGCTGCAGACACTGGACGCCCCATGGCTCCTGGGCTCAGGGCCCCTGTGTGCTTCCCCTCAGAGGAGATCCTGGGCGTGCTTGTGCCCCGGCTGACGGTGCTCACCCAGGGCAGCTGCCTCTGGCAGCGGGTCTGCTGGTGCCTGGTGGAGCGCGTGCCCGACTGGGCCATGGAGGCCGTGCTGAAGGGGTTCGTGGAGGCTGCCCCAGGGTAAGAAGTAAGGCATCCTTCCTGCTGCAAACGCTTCTCCCCCAGGAGGGCGGGCAGTGGGGATCCAAACGACTCCTGCCTATGTGGGGTCAACACTCATGGGACGTGGGTGGTGGCCCCTCTGTCTGGTGGCCGGTCATTTCATAGAGCTTGGCTGTGCAAAAGCCCATCTTTCCCACTCCTGACGGCTGGGCTGGGCCCCCCAGTCCTCACCTGGCTGGACCGAGACGGAGGCTGCAGCTTCTCTGCAGCCTGAGGGTCCCTGTTCTCAGAAAACCCAAATCATGCAGGAGGGTGTGTGGGGAACGCAGCTTCCTCCCACCTGGTGGCTGTGGTGACTTACCTGTGTGCCCGTCCACCTCTGTGTCTGTGAGCAAGGGGGTCTGCGGGCCATGTTCCTGAAAGGGCAATGCTGGGTCGCTTGGTTGTCATCCACGTTCCTTCAGACCGTCTCCCGGCATGAAGGGCCTGTTTCTCTGCCAAAGACGTTTCCTCCCTGTTTGACTTCACATTTTTTTGATCCTGGCTGAGGGTGTGTGTTTTGAAGGCATCACGAACCATCTGATCAAGTCTTTTACTCGCCTGTGTGAAGGCTCCTCGTGAGGGGTGGCCCCCACCTTAACACAGGCCTGGGTCTGTCCTGGCCGCACCACTGGTTTGGCTCCTCTGAGACGTCCTAACTGCCCTGTGAGCCCAGCATACCATGGGTCACTGGGTAGGGCTCAGCCTTCTCTGTCACCGAGGCTGTCGTGCTGTCTGCCCCAGGGCTGTAGGTCACTTTGCCTGGGTCTTTCTCTTCGACTTTATCAGTTTTCTTGTTTTTTCTTTTTCTTTTAACCTTCACGTCTTTGATTTGAGGGACGAGGAGGGGAACACAGCCTCACCTCCTTCCGTGCTGGCGGGAGCGTGTGTTGAGCTCTCACTCGCTAAAGGAAGCAGGGTCTCAGTCTAGATTGGGATCTGCAGACTACGGCCTTTGGGTCGAATATGGCTTACTGTGTTTTTGTAAGTAAAGTTTTATCAGCAAACAGCCACACTCAGCCGTGTACCTACCTGCCGTCGCTGCTCTCAGCTACCGTGTCTCTACAGAGCCTGATGGCCTGTCAGCCTGGCCCTTCACAGAGAAAGCTGGCTGCCCTGGTCTAGGCAGAGCATTTCACCTGGACTGGTCGGGGCAGGCAAGGGATGTCCTCTTGTGTCCAGTCGCTGGGCTCCCTGGTTTCCGCATTTACTGGGAGGAGAGAGAGTTAGGACTGACTCAGGGCTGAAGCACCTGCGCGGCTCCCTGGTGGTTAGCGCGGAGCCCGGGGATCCAGTGCGGATCCATGGGATTCGGAGTTGTGCTTCTCTCTCTCCCCACCACTATGCCTCGCAGGCCTGAAGTCCTCTCACGGCTGCTGGGGAACGTGGTGACAAAGAGTAAGAAGGCCCAGTTTGTAATGACCCGGAAGCTGCTATTCCTACAGTACAGCTGCACGGTGAGGGTGCCGGCCGGGGGTGGTAGCTGCGGCAGGTGGGGCTGGAGCAGTGCTCGGCTGCCCGGACATGTCGCTGGCCTTCAGCCCAGACCGTCCCGCCCCTGGGCTCCCCGGGCCGGGCGGGTGGTGTCTGCCTGGCAGACGGTAAGAGGACGCCGGCTCTGTCGCAGATGCCCATGCTGCAGAGCCTGCTGGGCTACCTGGCCATGGACAGCCAGCGGCGCTCACTCCTCATGCAGGTAAGCGCTGCCTGTGCAGGTAAGGGACCCTCAGTCCCCGCGGGAGAGCATTCCTGCCTGGGGTGGAGGGCGCTGGCTGGAGCCTCTCTGGGGCTGTGGGGACATGGGCACCAAGGCCCACGAGGTTCCGGGATGCGTTGGGGAGGCGGGGGCTGTCTGCCAGGCCGAGCCTACCACCCACCAGGCGCTGAAGGAGCTCCTGGAGACGTGGGGCAGCAGCAGTGCCATCCGCCATGCGCCCCTGGTGCAGCAGCGCTACATCAGCAAGGCCATCCTCATCTGCCTGGCGCACCTGGGGGAGGCGGAGCTCCGGGACAGCCGGGATGGTGAGCGCGCAGTAGGTGCCCCTTCCCCACTGCCCCCGCCGGAGCGCCATCCTCCCCCCAGCTCAGCCTATGCGCATCGGTGCTTTCAGAGTTGTTGGCCAGCTTGATGGAGGGAGTGAAGAGCCGCCTGGACAGCAGCCTGCCCCCTGTGCGCCGCTTGGGCATGATCGTGGCTGAGGTGGCCAGCGCCCGGATCCACCCCGAGGGGCCTCCCCTGAAGTTCCAGGTGAGCAAAGGCTGCGCCTGCCACGCTCTCCCTGAGCTGCCGACACTCCTGCCCCAATGTCACCCTGCCTGCCTGTGTCCAGGACCACAGAGATCTGTGCTTGGTGTCGAGTTGGTGGCCTGCTGAGGCCACGGCTGGGAGGGGAGTGGAGGCGCAGCCCCTCAGCTGGTGCCTGAGCACGTGTCCCCAGGTGGATTCTCTAGACGGGACTCTCAGGCCTCCCCTCCATCTGCCGAGCCCTCTGGGATGTCCTTGGAGACGGTGCCACATCTGCTCTGTGTCTGGGGGATTCCCAGGCCCTCCAGCCTTCAGCCCCCCCAGTGCTACCCTCTGCAGAGGGGGAAACCTGGACAGTTGCTCTTGAAAGACCGTTGGCTGCCAGAGGCCAGAAGCGCAGACTGCGGGCTGTGATGGGAGGGCCTCGCAGGGGCCCAGCTGTACCACTCCCACTGCTCCTGTCCCAGCCAACTCCAGCACATCTGCGTTGCAGTATGAAGAGGATGAGCTGACCCGTGAGATGCTGGCTTTGGCCATGCCCTGGCCCGCGGCTGACGGCCCCTCAGAGGCGGGGTGAGGGTCTCTGTGCCCCGATCCCTGGTCCCCACCTGGAGCTCTGGGCATGGTGGGCCAGGTGGGGTGGCTGCTGCACACCTGTTACTCCTGTCCTGCTATTGCTGAGGCAGAAGCTAAGATGAGGGCGGGGGCGGTGAGAGCGCTTCCTCGGGAAGCATGGGTTCTGGGATGAGAGACTTGTGGGGCACGCCTGAGGGATCCTTCTCTGTCCCCAAAGCCTGTCTTTCGCTCCGGTCAGTGGAGAGACTCCTGACAGAGAGACTGTGGACCGCAGTGGACCCCAGGCTGGGCCTGAGGGCTCCGACTCCGAGCTGGACAGGTGGGGGCAGCCCCACGGGGGAGAGTGCGAGGGTCCTGGCGGGGCCCACCTCAGGGTGAGGGCCCTGCAGCGCCGGTTCCCTCTGCCTCACGAGTCCTCCTCCCACCCGGAAATCAGCCCACGGGGCTCTCAGCCCGGCAGCCATTCCCGAAGCTTCAGGGACTGGGGGTGAGTCCCGGGTGACAGGCAGGTCTGCGTGTCTGTTCTTCCTCAGCGATGATGAGTTTGTCCCCTACGACATGTCGGTAGACAGGGAGCAGAGAAGCAGCAAGGCGCCCTCGTATGTGCGGGGCTGTTTGGAAGGTACGCCCCCGCCCCTGCCCTGGGTCCCCCGCATGCTGCCCACCCTGCCCGCCGGCTCCGCCTCACTCAGGCACCATGTGGGTTCTGGGCAGCTCTGACCGGGTCCGAGGACTGGGAGCGCTGGGAGGCGGCCCTGTGGGCCCTCGAGGGGCTGATTTTCAGGAGCCCGGCTGCCACTCAGGAGGTGAGCGCATGAGGGCTGGGCTGTCAGGGTCGCAGGAGGTGGGTGATGGCTTGGCAAGGGCATGTGTCTTCAGGGAGCCCCATGTGGCCCACATGGGCCTTGGCAGCGGGGCCTCTGCCAGGGTGGAGGGCGGGGGGCGCAGCCCAGGCTCCTCAAGACAGGCCCCTTCTGTCGAGCACCCTAACCCTGTGCGCAGGTGAGCATGGAGCTGGCCAAGGTGCTGCTGCACCTGGAGGAGAAGACAGCCGTGGCGGGGTTCGAGGGGCTGCGCCAGAGGGCCCTGGTGGCCCTCACAGTCACAGACCCGGCTCGGGTGAGTCCCCGCGGCTGAGTGGAGCCCGGGTTGTGCCCCCAGCAGGGGCTGTGCTGGGGCCCTGTCTCCGGGATTGTGATCCTCAGAGGCCTCTCGTCTGCCCGGCCTAGGTGGCGGAGTACCTGACCGCACAGTTCTATGCCCTCAACTACAGCCTCCGGCAGCGCATGGACATTCTGGATGTAAGTGCCTGGGCCTCTGTCCCACTCATCAGGGCTGGACTGGAAGGCCTGGTGCAAAGCCCCTGGAGGGGGTGCAAGCATTTGCCAGAATCTATAGGGATGGGACCACAGGCCTCCCCAAGCCCCTTGTTGCCAGACCTGAGAGGCTGGGACCAGCATCTGTCTGATGTTTTCTTGACAGAGCATGGGCTTCAGGGGCTGCATTCTTTGTTTTAGATAACAGCGTTACTGAGGTATGACGCACACACCATAAAATTCAGTCTTAAAATAAGCAGAATGTGGTGGGTTCATACAGTGGAATATTACTTGGTCTTAAAAAGGAACGAAATTCTGACACCGTGCTCAGGGAAATAAGCCAGACTCAAAAGGACAAATAGCGTACGATTCCACTTACGTGAGGTCCCTGCAGCCGTCAGATTCACAGAGGAAGAGAGCGGATGGTGGGTGCCAGGGGCTGGGGGAGGGGTGGGGAGTCAGGGTTTAATGGGACAGAGGTTCAGTTTGGGAGGATGAGAAAGTTCTGGAGGTGCTGGTGGTGACGGCGGCACCATGAGTTTACCTGGTGCCGCTGAGCCGCGCTGAAGAACGATTACCATGGTGAACGACACACCACGTGTGTTCGTCACAGTGACACAGAGACTAAGACAAAGCTGAAAAAAAGTTCAGCGTTTCCGTGTTTACAGTTCAGGGGCGTTTGGTACTTTCCCGACGTCGTGTAACCATCACGTCCACCTGCTTTCAGGACGTCCCACGTCACGCTCAAAAGAACCCAAGACGCTCCCTCCCCGCCCCCCCCCCCCCAACCCCGCAGTCAGTCTGCTCTGTCTGTGCATCTGCCTGTCCTGGGTGCTTCCTAAAAACGAGGTTGCACGTGTGGCCTCCGGGTCCGGCTCCGTCCACATATGGCCTGGGCTGGGGTTCCTTCCCTTACCCTGAGAGGTGGGGGTGGCGGGATTGGATGGGCTTCGGGAGAAGTGACCAAAGGTTTCAGGCTCGTCAGCAGGGAGCACGCCCACCTCCCTTCTGTCCCCCGACAAAGTGAAGTGAGCCTAAGGGACTCGAACTGACTAGCATGGGGTTCCCAGAACCTCCCCCCTGAGGACTGCCGGGGCCTTCGAGGGCACCCGATTCACCTTGAAATTTGGAAGATGTCATCCTTCCCCAGTGGGATGGCGGCTACCCCGGGTGTCTCCTCTCTTCTAGGTCCTGACTCTGGCCGCCCAGGAGCTGTCTCGGCCGGGGCGCCTTGGGAAGGCTCCCCAGCGGGGCTCCCCAGACCCCGGCTCCCAGCCTGGTGGTGCTGTGGTCCCGGCCTGGCGGGCGGTGGTGGAGGAGCGCATCAGGCGTAAGACCCGGCGGTTTTCCAAGGTCAGCCAGGCCCTGGGGTGGCCTCTTGGGTGGGACCTCTGCCCCGAGGGGACAGTGACCACAGTGTCCTGTGAAGGGAGGGTTTTTGGTACAAACTGAGTGATGTGACACATGCTGTTAGGGCATCACACTGAAGTGACTTTAAAACGTGAATGCAGCGTTAAAACGTGTGAAAACAGCCCTGAGGGTTCTCTGTTGGCAACAACTGGCCTGGCGTGTGCTGGGTCATTGGGGTCCCTCTAGGCCGGGGCTGAACGTGCTCTCCTGGGACGTTGGGCCATGTCTGGAGACATTCTCAGTCATCACCGGGGGTGGGGGGTGGTGCCTGCTCCTCTGGTGCTCAGGACCACCCCTCCCAAGTGTCCCCGAGTGTCCCTGGTGTGAGGTCCCCAGGCAAGGCTGTGCCCTGTGCCCTGCCTGGTGCCTTGTGAGCACGTGTGTTTGGCAGGGCTCTGCGGGGCGGGCACCAGCCGTTGGCCCCAACGAATTCAACTCGGTGGCTGGCTACTTCTTCTTCCCCCTCCTTCAACATTTTGACAGGTGAGAGAGTTTTCTGGAGGCCTGTGATTTGGGGAACAGGAGCCCTGGCACCCGTGGGTGGGAGGGTCCCTAGGGTGGGGGCTAAAGTGGGATTTGGGTTCAGGGGGGTCAGGAACTCGGCTGTGATTGTTTGTAGCTTAAATCAAGTGACGTGAGGGCATTAGGCATCAGGGTGTCCGTTATCTCCAGATGCTGGGTTCATGGTGGGGCTGGGGCCAGAGCCTCACCCTGGTGCCTCGACCCGGCGTGCCCTGCCGCCCCCGTGCGCACCCTTGTCCTGCCTCAGCCCGAGCGGGGTGCAGATATCCCCCAGCCATCGCCACGTGGGTGCAAGGCTCTGTGGACAGAGGGAAGGGCCTGGAGCCCTTTGCTGCAGAGGCCCCACAGGCAGCGGTCCTGCTTCCTGATCCAGGCCCGGGCTTGACCAGGCGGCCTTGCAAAGTGACGGGGAGTCTGTCCAACACCTTCTTGTGGCTCTGGGCGCCATGTGGGGACAGGCAGTGAGGAGGGGCGTCCAGGGGCTTGGGGTGCCCTTGGTGGCCCACGAGGTTGGGGAGCCGGCCCTGAGTGCCTGGCCTGCACCATTCACTGGGTTCTGTGTTGTAGGCCTCTAGTGACTTTCGACCTTTTGGGAGATGACCAGTTGGTTCTTGGGAGACTGGCCCACACCTTAGGGGCCCTGATGTACCTGGCTGTGAACACCACGGTGAGCTGGGACCCCGTTCTTCTGGCATCTGATGGCTCACCTCCTGTGGGGTCTGCGCCATGTTCTGTCCCCCTGTGGGCCTTGCCTTGGGACAGGAGTGTTTGGACCCGAGGATGGGGTCTGAGGCGGGGACTGCTGTGTGCCAGGACCCCTGCCTACTGGCTTCTGCTGTTTCAGGTGGCTGTGCCCATGGGCAAGGCCCTGCTGGAGTTCGTGTGGGCCCTTCGTTTCCATGGTGACGCGTGAGTAGCTACAGGGCTGAGGGGAGTCGGATGGGGTGGGGGTCCTGAATCCTGCTGGAAAGTGGACAGTGGGAGGTGGGTGGCGGCTTCCGGGGTGGCCGAGAGGCAGCCTGCCTGGGCGGTCCTGCAGCAGGAAGGGCCGGCGGGGCTTCCCTGGCGTGGGTGGAGGGCGCCAGGCTGCGGCTCCTCACGGCTCAGGCTCCTGCCTTCTCCGCAGCTATGTGCGCCAGGGCTTGCTGTCTGCTGTCTCCGCCGTCCTCCTCAGCGTTCCGGCTGAGCGGCTGCTGGCAGACCTGCTGGACGAGCTGCTGGAGGCCCGGTCCTGGCTGGGAGGTGAGTGCTAGGCCGGGGTCACCGTGGCCAGGCGGCGAGAGGTTGGTGCAGCCTGGAGGGGCCGGGAGGCCGTCAGCTCGTGGGCAGCGTGGCCCAGTCCCCAGCCCAGCATGAGCGTCATGTGGCTCCCGTTTGTGTGCTGAGTGTCCTCAGTGTGGGGGTGGGGAAATGGCTGCTGTCGGGTCACTTTGACTTTGGGGAGTCCTGCAGGGAAGGCGCCCAGATGTTGGGGTGGCACCTGTATATGCTGGAAAGTTCCATCCTCAGCAGAGTTACAGTGGTGATTGGCATTTTGCCACATTTTCTCTGGCGGCCACCCCTTCCCCACACACGTGCTCTTTTAAAAAAGTCTCTGTCGCCAGTAGTACCCCCACCTGTGGGCACTTGAGCCACGGCCCTCAGAGCCACCGTGCCCGTGTCCACCCTCGGGGCTCGCAGCTCATCTGCATCCACACTGGCAGGCCCGGTGGTTCTGATGGCGGCCTTTCTCTCCCTTTCTGCCAACCCTGCCCGGCGAGGCAGCCCATGAGCCTCCTAGGCTCCCGAAGGCCAGCCCCCTGACATGGGTGTCCGAGCACATCTGCATTCGGTGTGTTGGGATGGCTCGGGGCCTTGTGCTGTGGGTGCAGGTGCCTCCCCGGCCGGGCTCCTGGCCCCAGGTGCTAAGGAGCCCTTTGCCGGCGTCTGAGGAGATTCTGGTGCCACGCGGGGCTCATTCAGGAGGCCTCAAATGAGAGCAGCTGAAGAGGGCTGGCTCGCTCAGTGCTGTGACGCTGCCCACGCTTCCATTTCTCTCTTTGCAGACGTGGCCGAGAAGGACCCAGACAAGGACTGCAGGCTGCTGGCGGTGAAGGCACTACTGCTTCTGGAGAAGCTCCGAGATAAGCTCCTCCCACTCTCCTCTCCTTAGCCCCCGACCTCGGAAGGCACGTCCCACTGGAAGAGTGTGGGCTGGGGGCCAGCACGTGGGGCGGAGGTGCAGCTGGTACAGCCTGGAGTGTCTGCGGCTCAGCGAAGACTCTGCATCAGGGCCTCGGGTTCTGCCCCCCACAGACTGGGACTGGGATGTGGCCTCTGAGGCTTGGGCTCCAGGATGGCTGCTCAGCCCGGTGCCTCCGTGCAGCTTGTAGACTGCAGAGCTGGGGCCACTGGGCCTGGGGGCTTCTTAGCAATGTGCCCCCAGCCCTTCCTCACCGAAAAGGCCAGGGACTTTAAGAACAACAGAAAAGGAAGAATAAAAGAGGTGCAGGAGCTCTTTATGGTTCTCACTCCTGCAGGGAGCCTGGTGCCCACACACGGCCCCCTGAAGGGGAGACATGGAAATGGGGGCAGGAAGGGGACACGGGCCTCTGAGAAAACAGACTTTATTTGGAGAATTTCGGCAGCTGGTGGGTGGAGCTGGGGGTGGGAAAGCATGAGGCAGCCCCCCCGCCCCCATCATGGTGCTGTCCCTGATGGCCCCTTATGGTGGGAGCTGGTGACGGAAAGGGCGTGGCCTAGATGGACAGAGCCTCCCGATGCAGCCCAGTGCCAACCGTTGTCTCCCTGTGGTCAGGACGGGGTGTCCTGCGGGAACCAGTCAGATGCACTGCTGGGCAACCTGTGTGGGTGCCAGGAGGGGGGGGGCGGGAATATGGGGACACCCTCAGTTTCTTAGGCTTTACACCCTGTACTTGGGGGAATGTCATGGGAAAAATGAACCAACTCCCTTGACTGCCAAGGGGCTAAAACAAAACCCTGCAGGGGTCAGGGACTCAGAAGGGGTGGCTTAGAGACCCTCCCCCTGATGCCCCTCGGAGGCTAGCGCATTTTCCCACAGCTCTGCCTACGGACTCAGACACAAAACTTTCACCAAGAACATCAGGCTCCTGCTACTGATAATGACTGGCAAGTCCCAGAAGAGCCTGGGCAGCGGCAGGCCCTCAGGGGCCATTCTCCACCTCCTCCATCACCTCCTCGTCCATCTCCTTGTGGTCCTCCATGTTGTTGTGGCGCATCTGCTCCGGCATGGTGCACATCAGAGGGATGCCCAGGCCCTGGTGCACGGCGTCCACAGTGCGCTGGCTCACGTAGTACGACACGTTGGTGGAGGGCACTCTCTTCCGCATCTCCTCCAGGTACTCGTAGGCCTGGGTCACACACAACAGCCGTGACCGGTCAGCGCACAGTGGGAACAAGGGGCCCAGCCCGGGGGCAGAGTGAACAGGGGAGGGACACCTTTGGTAAAGGGGCTCGGTGGCCTCCCGGCCTTCCCAAGCGTTGGTGGCATCTGCGGACAGCGAGGCTCAGGCTCCGGTGGTCAGTGCTGTGAGCTCCCCCAGGGAGTCCCATGGGCAGCCTGTTACCAGGACCCTGTGTGTCTGGGGACCACGTCCCAGAGGGTCCGCCCACCCTGGATACACACAGGGAGACCTCGAGGAAAGGATGGATTCATGTCTACCGTTTGTTTCATTCACTCTGGGGTGTGTGCTTGTTGGGCCAGAGGGCCGGCAGCAACATACAAATGGTTTGTCTTGTGTATTTTGACCAGGCCTCCAATTTACCCCAGTTAATTGGCCTGTGGTTAGTGAGTCTCATGTGTGCGTGGTCCTTGGCCCGGGGCTGGTGAACTATGGGATTGTCAGTGGTTTTCCTGTAGGACTTCCTCTGGTCCTACCAGTGGGAATATGTGTGTGTGGGGGGCATGGGGGCCGCACAGCAGCTCGGGGTGGGGTCTGAGGCAGGACGGGTGTGCTTACACCTGTTCCACCTGCCTGCACCCACCCACACCTCCTTACACCTGCTCCACCTGCTCACCCACAGGGAGGGTCATGTGCAAGCACAAGGAGCTGGAACAGGGCCTCACGTGGCTTCTACAGGTACACTGAGTATCAATTCAGAATATGAACAAAATTTCCAGGAGCTTTTTGACTTTATGAGGAAATAATCACATCTTAGCATTTCTTAAAGATGATAAAATTTTAGAGTGATCTTATTTCAGACAGATATAACTCTGATATAAACAATAAAGATCATAAAGATAAAATAGGGTGTTTGGAGGGATGGGGGATGCAGCGTGCAAGTGCCCAGGAGCCCTCCAACGATGGAAGGAGACATCCAGGCACCAGGGACGCCCCTCGGTGTCTGCTGAGGGCCAGCTGTGAGCCGTGCTGGGCACACAGGACACAGGTACAAGGGAGGACCAAGCCAGGCCACTGGGCGCTTCGGTGAGAAGCCCGGCCCAGCAAGCGTAGAGGGAGTTGGGCAGCCGTGGGGTTTGGGTTGGGGAGCCTACGCAGAGGGGAGGGGGTGGGAGTCGGTGGGGAAGCCAGAGAGAACACCTGGGGGTGAGGAACGACACAGCCAGGCGCACTGGGGGCAAGGGAAGCAGCGTCTCCAGAAGGAGGGTCGGCAGTCTGTCAGGATTGGACTCAGGATGGGGCCATGAGGACCGAGCGGGAGGGACGTCCCAGGGACGGGGAGACCCTGGAGCAGCAGTGGGGGCTTCTGTGTCCCCTGCCCCCACCCGGGGAAGAAACTCATGCAGGCCTATCCTTTCTCAATTTATTTATAGATTTTTTAAAATTTAAAGTTACTAAATCCTACGGGCTTCAAACAAGGCTTGAGACAACAAAGAATTTGGTGAAATACTTGAAATGTGATTTTTCTGTTAATTTTGAGGATTCAGTGGTCTGAGCATCTCTGCAGTCCACTTGTGTTTTATTCTCCAAAAAAGAGGGAACCTGTTGGGATTCACTTTAGAGCTGTTTCCCCAACAACAAAAGGGGTCGGTGAGTGGAAGTGGCAGGGCCGGGAGGATGTGAGCAAGTTGGCTGGGAAGTCTGAGTTCATGGTGCTGACCCCCCAGACCTGGGCCACGGACGCTTGGCTTTCCTGGGAATCTGGGAACTGTGCCCCGTGAGGCCAGCCTGGCCCACTGGCAACGCTTCTGAATGAGTTGTCAATCCTGGGTTTGCCAGCACTTGGGAAAGGAAAGCGGGGGTCCCTCGGGGTCACTGCAGCCTCACCAGGAACTACCTGCGAGGGACAGGCTGTGGGCAGAGCACGTGGACTATAGCACAGTCTGTGTGCTGTCCTTTAAAACATGAAGGGAAAATGCAGCCAGGTGGGGTTCTGCTGCTGGTTTCAGAGGACTAAGACCAAAAAGAACAAGGACAGAGGCTTCTGGGGAGGGCAGGGTAACTCACATTAGACCAGCCCCCCTCCCAAACAACAAGGACAAACTGGGCAAAATGCAAAAGGCTCTGGAGAACAACCGTGGGCAGGTGGGCAGGGGGAGCCGACACTTGGGTGAGCTTTCTGCTTGTAACTTCTGCCTCGGGGAGGCCCAGTCAGGGCCACTGGGGGAAGTAAAAGGCACAAAGAAACTGGCCAAAAGAACCAGAATCAGAACTGCATCCACCACAGCAGCTGGCATGTGAGGAAATGGTGAAGACAGTTGTGGAGCAGACAGATTCCGAGTGTGGGCTCTGCCCTGACCTCTGCTTGACCCTGACTCTGCATGTGGTGGGGACCGGCCACATGCCAAGGAGCCTGAGCAAAGCCACGCACTGAGCAGAGAGCCCTGCTGTCCACCACGGTGGAGGGGCTTACACTCCGAGCTCAACAAAGATGGCTGCCTAAGGAAAGCAAGACAGAAAGAAGACATAGCAGAAGCCAGGGTCTCTACAATGTGTTATCCACGATGTCCGGGATACAAAAAACTGCTGGACATAAAAAGAAACAGGAAAACCTGACCTATACTCAAGAGAAAAGACAAATAATGGAGACCAACTCAACATGTCTAGATGTTTGAATTAGTGGCACAGACTTTGGAGCAGCAATTACAACTATGCTCAGGAGTATAAAGTGTTCATTCTTAATCAACAAATAGGAAATTTTAACAGAAAACTAAAAAAAAAGAACTAAGTGTAAATTCTAGAACAGAAAAATACAAAATCTAAAATGAAAAATCTGCTGGACAGGTTAACAGCGGATTGAAGATAGCCAGAGAGAGTCAGTATATTTGAAAATAGTTATGTTACCTAATTCAAGTAATAGGAAGAAAAGATTAATAACAATGAACATCAATTACAAATGTGTATCCACTTAATATGAAAAGGCCTAACACTTAACTGGAGGCCCAGAAAGAGAGAATAAGGCAGAAAAAAAATATTTGAAGGAAAAATAATTACAGATTTCCCAAATACAGTCACAAAAGGATCAAATTTGTTTCCAAGTAACTTACCCTTATCCCAGGAGAAAACTCAACAATACTGAAAAGAACACACACACAGACTCCAGCACTTGACAACCTAAAACATTTACAGTGTCTGGAATCCAATAAATAATTGCAGACCTGCAAAGCAGGAAAATATGAACCATAACAAAGAGAAGAATCGACCAATAGGGACAACCAGAATTGACATGGAGCCGAGGACTTTACAGTAGTAAATATTTCACGTGCTCAGTAAGGCAGAGGAAAAAGCAGAATAAAGAGACACAGGAGATGGAGGGAGGAGAGCCGGTTCAGACCCACTGGAGGTGAAACTACGGAAGGAGCAATAGCAGAGCGGACTCTGCAGAAGGAAGACAGTCAACTTGCAGCAACAGCAAAGCAACCGCCCCAAATGAAAATAGGAAAAATTCTGGGAAAAAGAATGAGTTGAGCCAGGGGCCAATATATACAAGTGGCTGGAGTCCAGAAGGAGGGGGAGGGCAAGGGATGAAAGGGAACACCCTACAGACGGGGAGAAAACACGGCAGCTCGCACATCTGATGCAGACAACGTCCAGGCCACACTCAATAAGAAGACAAACACCCAGTGAAGCAAGGGGCAGTGTGAGCACTTGCAGGAGGGGACCTGAGCAGGGGCTCGCCACCAGCCACACAGACAAGGTGTGTTACAACCACAGTGAGACACCACCACACACCCACCTACATTGCAGCCACCACCAGCTGCATGTCCACCCAACACTTGGACTTTCCTGATGAGATCGCTGGGGATGTTAGCCAACAGCATTTCTTGTGTGTAATGAAATGTTTTGACATTTGCACAACCCAGTGAACCAGTATTTTCCAAACGACCACCATGATGTTACAAAATCATGTATATGTAAAAGATGGAAGGTAGACCAACGGGTTTTAAGGTAACAAGTACAAAAAGCATGCTGACATGGTTTCAGATTGCTCATTGCAACTAACTTAGGAAACACCACTTGTGGAGTGTGGTGTGGTGTCTAAGACCTGCGAATACTTGACAGGGCTGCTACAAGGTCCTCCCCTTCTCACCTACACATTGGGGTGAAGCTGGGTTTTCATCACAGATTTCATATTTCATTGAAAACTTATTTTACCACATTGAATGCAGAAGCAGACATGGAGAGTCTGGCTGTCCTGTATTACGTCAGACATTAAAGAGATTTGCAACAATGTAAAAGTTACTTTCCTCACTAAATGTCTTTGTTTTGAAAAATAGTTCTTTTAAATGAAAATGTTACTTATGTTACCATGTAGTGGGTTTATTTTATTTTTAAGTAAATTAACAAATATTTTACAAATTTATTAGCTTATTTTCTAATACAGTAAATATTGGTAGATATAACCCACATAAAGCTCTTAGGGTCCTCAATAACTTCCCCAGCGTAAAGGGGTCCCAAGACCAAAATGTTTGAGAACTGCTCTGTTAAACTGAATTATCAAAACCCTTCCACAAAGAAAGCTCCAGGACCAGTGGGTTCACTTACACATTCTATCCTACATTTAAGGAAGTGACACCCATCTTACATACACTCTCTCAACTCCAGGAGGTGGGCACCCCAAGTGTTATTAGCAAACTGAGGAGTGAAGGGACAGGAAAGGATGTCTGTGCCTGTCAAATGGCTCAGAAAATACCCATTTTATGTATAAAATAGAAAATTTAAAACATAGAATGAATACATAAATGTGGCAAAATGTTAAAAAAAATGAATCTGGTAAAGGGTTGGGTTCTATTATTCTTGTAACTTCTCAGTTTGAAATTATTTCAAAATAAGAAAGGCTGAAAAGTCAGAAAGAAAATCAAAACGTGGGGAGGTGCCTCCCCCACTGCGAGCTCCGCAGGGGGCTCTGCAGCCGGGATACCCCCATCACCCCGCAACCCCATCAGCCCCAGGTGCGGCCTCACCGTCTGCAGGTCCTCCATCTGCACGTGGTGCTCAACCAGGAAGCCGTATACGTCCCCGACGCGGACGGTGCTGTCCAGGTCCGGCTCCTCCAGGAGCAGCTTGCACTGCCTGACCGACTCCTTGGGGTCCTCGGTGTATGTCCTGCTGGGAGCAGGGACATTCTGAGCCCCAACCCAGGGCACGGCTACACGTCAGGGGTTAGGGCAGGCTCTCGGCCTGGAGGATGCAGCTTTTTTGTTTGTTTTGTTTTTGTTTTTTTGCGGTACGCGGGCCTCTCACTGCTGTGGCCTCTCCCGTTGCGGAGCACAGGCTCCGGACGCGCAGGCTCAGCGGCCATGGCTCACGGGCCCAGCCGCCCCGCGGCATGTGGGATCTTCCCGGACCGGGGCACGAACCTGTGTCCCCTGCATCGGCAGGCAGACTCTCAACCACTGCGCCACCAGGGAAGCCCAAGGATGCAGCTTTTGAGAAGGTAATTCCCGTGAACTAAATTAATTCTTTATTGAGTCAATTCATAAATTCACTAATTTGTTTTAACAAAACGTATTGACCGCTTGCAGGGCTGGTACTGGTGCTGCACTAGACTCTGGAGGGCACAGCCTGTCAATCCCAGTCCCGCCCAGGGAGCAGCCTGGAGGGTGACCTGGGGCAGAGAGGCGAGGGCATGGAGGGGGTGCGTCACTGTGGGGAAGCGTCAGGGAGGGCAGCCCAGGCAAAGGCCAACGCAGTGACGCCCAGGGTCTCCGCAGTGCCTGGTGCGGTGCGTGCAGGTGGGGGTGGGACCAGGAGGCCCTGTGAGTCCCCCACAGGCTGGCCCTCTGGCCCCCGCATTCCCCTCCCTCTGTCCAAGCACCCTGCCCTGTGGCTAAGCCCCCTCCCTCCTGCAGCCCTGACGTTCCTGAAGCTACACATCTGAGTGCGGGAGCACCCTTCAAAGAGCCCCACTCCATAAATAGCATTCAAAATGTTTTTGGAAGTCTTTGGAAAGCCTCTTCTCAGATAAGCAAAGTGCTTTCATTGGTTTGGCAGAAGCTGAGCCCTGCTGTCCACACAAGGGTCTTGGACGCACTGGACTAGCTGCCAGTAAGTAAAAACTAAGACCCCAGACACATTTGGACTTGTGGCCTGTCCTAAAACAGGCGGCGTGCTGCCCGAGCCTCCACCCCACGGGCCCCCTCCCCAGAACCACCTGCTGGACCCCTGCACGCACCTGAGCAGGCCCTGGGCTCCCCTCAGACACAGCCTCTCCTGACACCAACCTGCCTCCCCCGACCACCACTTTCCTCCCTCAAAGGTCTCGGCTGTTTCTGGAACAACCTCCCAAGAGTCGGCCTGGTTCTGCAGGAACCAGAGGAGCCCCGACGTGCACAGAGCAACGGCACACCCTGCCCTTCCCATCCAGCTGTCCAAGGAGTTCCTTAGAAGAATGTCCACTGGAAGTGCCGTGCTGCCCCACGGCTGACGCACCTGTGGGCCTGCATGAAGCGCTTCACCAGTGCCATTTTGCTCTGCAGCTGCGCCAGCCTGGCCTCCTGGTCCAGTGGGCTCCTGGCCTTGGCCTTGGACAGGCACTTGTAGGCCTCAGTCAGTGCCCCGTGGGCCTTGTCGTAGTTCTGGTACTCGTCGATCTCTACCTGCAGGAGGAGGCGTCAGGGCCCATGGGTCCTCCATCCACCCGGGGCCCCTCGAAGTGGGGGGTCGGTACCTGGGCACAGGCATCGTAGAAGCCGGCCAGGAGGTCCAGGGCCCGGCCCTTGGTGTAGAAGCTGATGATGCTCTTCATGATCTCCGGGTCCTTCCGCCAGTCCAGGGACTGCAGGTAGTTGGCTGCCATGATGTAGATCTCCTTTTGCCTCGAGACGCCAGCAAAGAACACAATTTTCTCAGTGTCCCCAGACTTGAGCAGTGCTCTCATGGCCTGGACAGAGAAAGAGCCGGGCTGGCCCCTTCCTGGCAAGGTGGACAGAGCTCCCGCCCGATGCTGCAGGTGTGTCTTCAGGACAAGCGAGCTCTGGGCTGCAAAGTCTTGGCAGGCGCCCTCGGAACCCTGCCCAGAAGCTCATCCCACAGGGCACCCATGCGCCGGGCCGCACTCACCTTCAGCCTGTCCCCTGCCTGCGTGTACTTCTTGGTGGCCAGGTGGTAGTTGCCCTGGCGCATGCAGCAGCTGGCAATCTGCTCCAGCAGCTCACGCCGGGACTCTTCAGACAGCTCCTTGCAGTCCTTGGACACCGTCATCTTTTCAGCCATCTCCTCAGTGATGGTCAAGTTCTGCTCCAGGCAGAGCTGCAGGGCTTCGTGATACTGGGAAGGGCCACAGAAACCAAGGGGCAGTCACCTGTGGCCTGGGGGAGAGCCACACCTCCCCGCCTCCTGGGGTGGGGGTGGGGGGAACAGTGCGGCCAGGTGGGGGCACGTGACCTTCTCTTGCTATTGATACTCTAGAGGCAACCAAGGAAACGTGCAGCCCAAAAGGAAGTTATATTCGTTATGGGAGGAAAAGGAGACCAGAAACTAATTTTCTTCTATAATTCTTTTCAAGTTTTCAAAGTAAGGAGTTTAATTAATTTAATTAACTTTCCTTAAAAATTCTAGAAAAATTATATATTCTTCACTTAAGAACGTGTCTTGGGGGGCTTCCCTGGTGGCTCAGTGGTTAAGAATCTGCCTGCCAATGCAGGGGACATGGGATCGAGCCCTGGTCCGGGAAGATCCCACACGCCGTGGAGCAACTAAGCCCGTGCGCCACAACTACTGAGACCACGCACTGCAACTACTGAAGCCCGAGCGCTCTAGAGCCCGCGAGCCACAACTACTGAAGCCCGTGCGCCTAGGCCCATGCTCCGCAACAAAGACACCGTAATGAGAAGCCTGCGCACCGCAACGAAGAGTAGCCCCCGCTCGCCCAACTAGAGAAACACCGTGCACAACAACGAAGACTCAACGCAGCCAAAAATAAAATAAATAAAATAAATTTAAAAAAATAAATAAAACAGCCCATTGTGGATTAATAAAAAAGAATGTGTCTTGGGAAGAAAAAGAACTATATCTTGGAGATGATTTGCCCTGCTGACGGCTGTGCTGGGAACCTGCAGGACATCCTGCCCAGACTCAGAGGGGTGGTCCTGCAGGTGCGGAGGTCCTTGTGCCTATGCCACTCACTCGTGTATAAGTGTGTTGTTAGCATGACTGCTGACGATAGGAAGCACTGGACCAAGGAAGATGTGCTTGTCACCTGTGGCAGGCGCCACTGCCATGTTCCTACCTGCAGCCTGAGCACAACTGTTTCCCACTACAATCTGGCGGGTTTTCTAGCCTTTTTACTTTACTAGCCTAATTCACAAACAATGGCATCTCCTCACGTCTGATCTGTATTCCCCTGATATGAGTGAGTCTGTGTATCGGACATTCAGGAACCATCCAGATTTCCTTTTTTTAAAACAAACTGACCATATTCTTTGTCCTTCCTCTTGAGTTGTTGGTAGATTTCTTATTGGTTTATAGAAACTCTATACATATTAAGAAGATTGGCCTTTCGGGATATAGGTAGAATACATTTTTTCCCATTTTATTATTCATCTTTGCTTTGTTTATGCTGTGTTTTCCATGTGCTATTTTCAAATTTGTATTTGGTCAAATTGATCAGTCTTTCCCACTATGGCTGTTGGGTTTTGAGTTGTATTTAGAAAATGCCTTCCCTCCTTCAAGGTCATACGAGACACATGTGGCTTCTGGTGGCACTGGGCCGCCTCCCTATGCACTTAGATCTCTGACCTGCCTGCAGTTTCCTCAGACGCAGCAGGTGAGACGGGTTTAACTTCACTTTTCCCAAGTGGCCACCTGGCTGTGTCAACCACATTCACCGAAGGGCTCATCCCCACTGTTGTGAGATGCTCCTCCACCACATGTAAATGTGCATCCGTATGTGGCTCTATTTCTGGATTTTCTAGTATTTCCTACTGATCTATAGGCCCGATCACGCACTAAACCCCAATTATTCTAGCACTGATATAGTTTATGATCTGGGAGGTTTAATCACCTCTTGCTATACTCTTCTTTCCAGATTTTTCTCGGCTCTTCTGGCTTATCTGGTTTTCACTGTAAAACTACAGAATCCACTCATCTAACTAGAGGAAGCCCTGTGGTATTTTTCCTGGGGTCAGAGTCAGTCTGAAGCGGCCTTAGGGGAGGCCAGTCAGTAGGTCTCTCTAACCAAGTACGTGGTGTGTGTGCCTTTTCACTTGCTCAGGAATTCTCCTATCACTCATAATGAGAGACCACACTGCAAGCGTGATTCTGGCTGCAGGAAAAAAGATCTTCCAATTAGGACAGGCTGATTCTGGGTGACTAACCATTTTCTATATCTCCATTCAGTTTCCATCAAGGGGAATTTTTCTCCTTAAGGAAGATTAGTGCACATACCCATTAAGACGGCTACTATCAGAAACTAGAAGATGGAGTGTTGCGGAGGATGTGGAGAAACTGGGACCCTGGTGCTCTGCTGGTGGGAGCATCAAATGGTTCAGCCGCCGTGGAAACAGTGTGGCGGTTCCACAGAATGTTAGAGCAGAGTTATCATGTGACCCAGCACTTCCCTCTCTGGGTAAATTCCCCAAAGAACTGAAAGCAGGGTCTTGAAGAGATGTTCGCACATTCATGCTCATTCACAACGGTCAAAAGGTAGAGAGAATTCCCTGGCGGTTAGGACGCTGCGCTCTCACTGCCGAGGGCCCAGGTTCCATCCCTAGTTGGCGAACTAAGATCCCACAAGCTGTGCTGGTGTGGCCAAAAAAAAAGGGTAGAAGCAACCCGAACGTCCACCTGTGGATGCTGGACAAGCCAGGTGTGGTCTGTCCGTGCAGAGGGATATGGTTCAGTCTCAAACAGCAGGGACCTTCCAACACACGCTGCAGCGTGGACGGCCTGGGGGACGCTATGCTCGGGCGAAAAGCCAGTCGCAAAGACAAGCGACTCCACTGACACACGTCCCTAGACTCACGCTCAGAGAGACAGAAAGGCGGAGGGCGCGTGCCAGGGGCCAGAAGAGTTTGAGTTCTGCGAGACCAGTAGGGTCTTGGAGATCAGCTGCACGAACACGTGAATGTGCTTAACACCACTGAGTTGTACACTCAAAAGCCCCTAAGATGGTAACTTTCACGTTATGTGCTCTTTACAACACACACACAGAAGAAAGCGGACTCCTTAGCTATGACTGGAAACAGGCGGAGAGTCCCGCACAGGCCGGCCTGGCCTTCCTGGTGAGCGTGGTTGGTGAGGGTGGCCGCCTGCCCGCAGGGCCCGTACCTTCTTGGCGGCCAGCAGCAGCTCCACCGCCTTCTCGTACTGACTGTGCTCCAGGAAGAAATCGGAGCAGCGGGCCAGGAGGGCGGGGTCTGACTTCTCGTCCAGGTCCTCTGCCACAAGCTGCAGGGCCACAAACTGCTGTGTGGCGAAGGCCAGCTCCAGGGCCTTGGAGAAGTGGCCGGCCTGTGGACAGCGGGGGAGCTCTGAGCAGCACCGTCTGGGCGCCCCACTGTGCCTGGGGCCTGGAGTGGGTGGCCTCACCTTGTGGTACAGCATGACCGCCTGGTCCATCTGCTCGCCCTTCTCCTCGTAGTAGCGTGCGGCCTCGATCATGTCCTTGGGGGAGCTCAGCAGGGCCAAATTCATAAGCTGGTCATCCAGGCCGTGCTCCTGTGGGAGCACAGAACGTTGGGGAACTACCTGACATGAGGGCTCTCCACCTTTTCGACTCTTCTTGAAGTGGGACCCTGGGCTGGAACACTTTTATGGATGCAAAGCGTCCAATGGCTTCCTAGGTAGGTCTACTGAGTACGAGGCGTGAACAGCCTCCCTGCTGCTCAGGAGCCTGGATAGCAGGGAGCGTCCCCGAGCGCACTTGGGCAGAGTGAGGCGTGAGACGTAGACACCTACCTGGGTAGGGGTATGACACTCACGACATGAGTCTCCAAATTTCTGTTTGAAACTCTCTCAACAGAAGGTGGGAAGCAGCCTCCCCCACCTGGAGGCGCTGGCAGGGGCTGGGCACGCACCTTACAGAGACGGATGGCATTGTTGAAGGCCTGGGCGCGTGTGTAGAAGTGCACGGCCTGCCGCACCTCGTCCTGGCTCTCGTACTGGCGGGCCAGGTGGTAGGAGGCCGCCCAGTTCCCGGTCTCGCTGGCTATCTCTGCGGCCTAGAGACACCAGGGACAGGGGTTTTGCGTGCAGCCTCCTCTGCCAAGCAGCCCGCCTCCCTCCGGGGCTCCTACCTTCTGGATGTTGCCCTGGAAGCAGTAAACGCGGACCAGAGAGAAGTAGTCGTGCGCCAGCTCATAGTAGCGAAGTGCGGCATCCATCTCGGCCTGGCTCTCCAGGTACTGGGCCCACCACCTCCACAGGGTCCTGCGAGGAGCCGCATGTGCTCCCTCAGGCCCCTCTCCCGCCGAAGTGAGCCCTGGGTCCCACACCAGCAGCCAGGAGACATGGACGCTGGGTGGATGAGCCCGAGTGAGGTCCCTGGGGGAGGCCCCCGCCCGGTGCCCTGGGGACCAGCTCACGTGTGAGGCTCTGGGGGGAAGACCTCCCAGGCCCAGCCACTCACTTGTCCTTCATCTTGTTGATGTATAGCTCCAGGGCCTGCAGGTCCTCTGCCAGCATCCGTGGCACCTCGAAGCGGTGCGTGTCTGATTTCTCGTAGCTGCGGGAGAAGAGAAAGCGCCGCTCACTCCCTGGTTCAGCTTGCAGCTCAATGGCCTGTGCACCCAACTAAGAGCTCCACCACTAGCACTGTCCGGGGGGCACAGGCCCGACCAGCGCTGCAGCCTAGAGACCCAGAGCCTGGCAGGTCCTCCTAAAGCACAGAGCTCAGGCCCCCCCAAAGCCCTCCCACCGAGATGGTGCTGGTCCGGATCTTCCTCTGAGAACCTCCGAGGCCCCCTCACTGGGGCAGCAGAGGCAAGAGGTCCTGGCTGCCCGCCCGTGCTCACTAGCTGAGGGCCAGGCTGCAGTCCCCGCTGGCCTCCAGGTGCCGGGCGTAATTGTAGTAGGTGGTGCGCAGGTGCACACGGTCGTGTCGCTCAGCCAGCTCAATGGCCCTCTGCCACTGGCCCTCTGCCTGCAGGAGCCTATTGAGGAGGTCGTAGCGCCCGCATTTCTTGTACAGATGCTCCGCGTCCTCCTGAGGGAAGGAAGTGTGCCTGTTGGCGCCGATGATGCCCCCAACGGCAGCGAAAAGTCACCAGGGATCCACTGTGGCAGGCGGCAGGGCGGCCAGGCCATCAACCCGCCCACGACTGAGACCACAACACACCCTGGGTGGGATGGACACTTTGGGGCATGGGCGGGGATGGTCAAGACAACACTGGAGAGGGCAGGCCTGCCCGTCAGCCAGTGGGTCTGAGCTCCACCCAGACCCCATCAGACCTGTGGGTGTCTGCTCCCAACTGTCCCCAGCCCGACAGTGAGCTGTGCCCGGCCACTCGGCCTGCATCTCCTGCGACTTCCATCGGCCTCTCTGGGCCACAGGGGTACAAGGGGCCGTGAGCTCCGCAAACACGCAGGAGGCAAGGAGGGGACCGGCGTGGAGTGGAGTGGCCTCGGGGGCTCTGCAGGGGGCTCCCTCCCCCCACCCCCATTTTGGCCTCAGCTTGTTTGAGGGGGTTTCTGTTCCCTGCAACCCAAGGGCCCAGACAAGCACACACTGTGTGTGGGAGGCTGGCCTGCCCATCGGGGTGGTGCCCACTCACCAGCATGCCCAGCTGTATGGCCAACACGGCCACCCTGGCCTCTGGCTCTGGCTCCTGCTCAGCCTCCCGCAGCGCCCGGGCTCCGCGCGCGTGGCCCATGTGCCCCAGGCACACCTTGGCGACATCCAGCCGCTGAGTCTTCACGCACATGCGCGCCATGTTCTCCCAGACAGCCTCACTGCAGTGAAGGACACGTGGCTCCAATGAGCTGCCGCTCCCATGACTCGGGCCCCAGCAAGACCCGTGCCAGGCAGCACGGGGACCCGGCTGGACACATGGTCTCCGAGAAGGGGGCCGTGTGCGAGCCCAACAGCTTCACCCACAGAGCAACGTGGCAAACTGGGGCCCACATGGCCTCCCGGGAAGAAAACGGGTGAGACACCCGTGTCCTGGGAGTGCAGGGGCTGGTGTACCTCTCACGGCTGGCCCTGGGGCCTGCTCCTTGAGCAGGCTCCCTCCCTTGGCCACAAGGGGTCCCGTGAAGACCCCGGAGAGTGTCTTGTGCAGGCTGCCAGGCCCCACTGTGCCCCTCAGTGAACACTTGCTTCTCCCCCCGGCACCCGGCACCTCTGTCCCAGGCTGAACTCCTGGTGCTCCCTCCACCCTCACACAGAGCCCCTGGGTCAGGCGGGGAGTGGGGTCCCCCAACTCCAAGGACAAGCATGACACCCAGGTGGGCCTTGCCATGTGCTGAATGGAGGCGGGGGGCCCGGGGACGGACCTGCAGAGCTGCCCTCTGACACCCCTGGCACAGGCTTGGGCCGGGCTCTTCCTTCCTTGTTTGGAGGTTTCTAGCATCTCTCTCCCTCCAATGCTGATGGGGGCTCCTGCCCGTCCCCTAGCAGGTCCCAGGACAACCTCAGACCCAGGACGGCCTCCCTGAGAAAAGATGCTGGCAGGAGGGAGGAGGCTCTGGGGCCCCTCCTCCTGGGGCTTCATCCCCTGATGACCCCAGAGCCCTGAGGAGAACAGACCAGTAAGTAACTTCTGGGATGCGAGCGGCTGGTGGCCCTCAGGATGCGTGAGTCACTGCGGACTCCACCCGTCCGTTCTCAAGGAGCCCCTGGGCGAGCAGCGTGGAAGCAGGGTGCCAGCCACTCCCGACAGCCTTTCCGTGGGCAGCTTTATCCCATGTGAGTCCTGGGGTCTGTGCATCCAACCGAAAGTCCATGTGGACACCCGCCTAGTCCCCACCAGAGCCATGAACGCTTCCTGCTGTCTGGTAGCATCTGCACCCTGTCAAGTGAGGGGCAGATGGGCTCCGAGCGGCCCGACGCTTGGGAAAGACTTGTCCTCTGAGAAGCTCCCAGAGCGAGCCAGAGGACCCTCCTCTTGGGCTGCTCTGTGGAGACCCTGGTGGGACGGAGCAGTGGTTGACTACTCCCAGCTTCACATCCCACCAAGCGGCATACACGCTGTGTCCAAACCTCCCGTGTGTCTCTGCTCTAAGACAACACTGCTGCTTGTCCGCGTGAAGGAGCAGGGGAGGCCTTGACAGGGCCAAAGACCTGGACCGCGGAGAACAGGAAGGGCCCCTGGGGTGGCACACGATGGATGAGGGGGTCCTTGGAGGACTCGGTCATCCTGACTCAAGGTCTGCTCCCAGGCCGGCCACCCTCCCCCTCCCCAGCCCAGCTGTCCACTCCACCCAAGCCCAAGGCTTGGGGCTGGTCCAATAGGAGCCCCAGCAGGTGGCCCGGCCTGCTCCCCGCCCAGCCTGGGAGAGAGCTGGATGGCCCAACGGCTGTTCCCAGGACAAGCAAAGCAGGGGCTACAGTTCCTGAAACCCCCTGCTTGCTTTTCAACGGAAATTAGCCACTTAAAGACTGGCTCAGGATAAGCGATTCTAATGAGTAAGGAGGGAAATCAACGCTCTTTTAATGGAAACTTTGAGGAAAACTTCCTTTTCGAGGCGATCTACTGCACTGTGTGCACAGGAGCCCCAGCCCTAGTCCTCAGAGCGGGTGCCCTCCCACAGGGTCTTCTGAGCTGACAGACCCCCAGATGCCTCCCCACCCACAGAGCGGCTGGAGCGAGAGCAGGGGGAGCAGGGGGCAGCCCCGCTTCTGGCACAGCCGAGGAAGAGGGAAAGTGGCAAGAACTCAGCTGACAGGTTTGCTACAAGCTCTGGTGGGAAAAATCCAAAGGACATAAAATTCCTCCGGGAGCTGATGGACAGATGTTTCTTGAGAACCTTGATTCTCCAAAGACCCCCTGCCTTTTAGGAATGTAAACTTGGAGCGGGAACTTCCAGGGCAGACCAGTTTGGTTTCAGCACAGGCCCGGGCTGAATGAGTCGCAGCCCAGAGAATTTGAGCAGAGCAGATGACTATCTCTCTGAGCGCCCCTCAGCCTGATGGCTTATGCGACACAGGGCAGGGCACCCAGTGCAGGACCTGGGCCCTTGCTGCCCACACACACCCCGTCAGCAGCAGACAGGGCCCAGGCCCTCAGGCCTCGCCGGGTGCACGGCTCGTCCAGAACCCAGCCTCTTGCACCTCAAGGACGATGGCCTGCTCTGGCAGGTCTCCAAGTATGGGTGAGGGTCTCAGCTGGGAGGTGGAGGAGTCCAGGGGCCTCCCCACCACACTGGCCCTTCTCTGCTGCGCACCTATGGGTGCATGGCACCCATATGCTGGGGGAGTGACCGATGGCTGGGGGATGCCCAGTCCCCAAGGTGGGCGACTGGTCACCAGCGCCCTGCCCGCCCCGAGCCACCGGGTCGAGACAGACAGCGGGGCCTGTGGGCCTGCCAGGCTGGCATCCCTGGCCTCCACTTTCAGGGAAGGTGGGGAGGGCGGGGGAGGGTCCCGGAGCAGGCCTCCAGAAGAAGGCCCCCCTGCCTTTCCTATCAGGAAACACATCCTGTTAGTGTCTGGCTGCTATTTGTTGCAGTTGGCTACGCCCTCCAGCTCACCAAAAACAGCCTCAAAAACAACCATTTCCTCTCTGCTGAGAGACAGGGGGAAAACGCAGGCGCGAGGCACACACACACTCACTCACACACGCACGCGCATCCCTGCAGCAACCCGTTTGCTTTCCAGGACCAGCTGTTGGGTGGCGGAGGCACCGGGAAGGGGCTCAGGCAGCGGAGGCCCCAGTGGCTCACTTGCGCTGCTCCCAGCGGCCCTGCTCAGAGCCCTGCTCCGCACTGGTCCTGAGAGTGAGGCCCAGGCACCCCGCGTTGCTGCCTGCCTTGCAAGTGATTTCTGTTCTCTTCGCCTCCTCCTCCTCCCAGGAAGACGGCGCGCTCACGACTCTGGACTCTCGCTGGTGCCCCTGCTTCCTCCCCAGGATGGGCAGCTCGGAAGGCTTCAGCTCAGGCCTGGCCCTGCTCCAGGTGCAGGAAGGAGGGTAAGGAGGGCCGCGAGGCGGGCGCCCCCGCACCTGTCGCATGGGCCTTCCTGACACCTCCAAGCATGAGCGGTGATGTCCTCTAGCCACCCCTGGTGACAGCAGCTGACCGACTGGGACTGGGACTTTCTCCACGACAAGGGGACGGCACCGCAGTCCGCAATGACTGTCCAGAAAGTGGTGGCCACGGCCGTGCTGGTGGCCCTCGTCTCTCTCATTCTCAACAACGCAGCGGCCTTCACCCCCAACTGGGTGTACCAGACGCTGGAGGACGGGCGCAGGCGGAGCGTGGGGCTGTGGCGGTCCTGCTGGCTGGACAGGGCCAGGGGAGGGCCAAGCCCGGGGGCCAGGCCCGGGCAGGCGGACGCGCGGGACTGCGAGGCCCTGGGCTGGGGCTCTGAGGCGGCGGGCTTCCAGGAGTCGCGAGGCACCGTCAAACGTAAGTCTGCTTATTTTCCTTCCTCCTTTAAAGCGGCTGTGGATGCGGGCACATCTGCTGACGGGTGATGGGTGCTCTGCTCACAGGGGCAACCTTGGCTCTTGGGGACCCAAGCGAGCCCCAAGCTCCAAGCTCACCCTGCTCCGGCCCCTTTGGTACAGAATTCTTCCTGTGCAGGAGGGGGCTTTCTCTCTGCCGTCATGCATAGCTACAGTACGGATACATTAACCAAAGCAAGGAAAATATGTTTTTCCTGGTGGAAAATAAAGATTGTTAATGAGTAAAATAAACAAGAAACTTAAAAACATGCGGCTGGGTTTGGACTTCATTCCACAGTTGTCAGGGTCGTTAATGCAGTGGGCAGCATAGAGGGAGACGCTCCAGGAACTGCCTGTAGGTGGGATGCCCAGGAGAGACTGGGAGACTGATGGCCTTCAGAGGGCAGAGAAGAGCCGACTCCTGCGAGCAGGGGCCTGGCTCCCTTCTGCCCAGTGGTCCTGTCTGGTTTGTCACATCCGGCACAGGGTCCATTACAGCTCTGAAAGGTGGGAACTTGACTTTGAAAGGGGGGTAGGGTTTGAGTGTACGGGAAAGAAGGTTCATAAATATGAAAACGCTTGTCACCTAATGTGTAGACACATGGCAACAGCAGCCGATGGGCAAAGGTCTCCCCAGTGACGACCCTTTAAAACTGCAGACAAGAGTCTAACATGTAGACTGCATCACCTGTTCTGAATACAACACTTGTCCTTGGGAAAACATGGCTCCGGCCAGGCCTCTGCTGGCTGCTCCAGAGGGCACACCTCACTCAACTCAGGCGTGATGGCCCTCAGAATCCTGACCCACGAGGGAATGGGAGTGGGGGAATGTTGCCTCCACTTCACAGGCAAAGAGACTGAGGCTGCAGGAGGCGTGTGGCTCCGTTCAGGTCCCCGAGGGGACGTGAACCCGTCTTTGCACGTGGACCCCTCGCAGCACAGCCTGGGGGTGTCTTCCATCAGGAGTGGCTGGCTTGCCAGCCCGCGCCCCCCCCTTTGCAAGCAGAGAGCCACAACCTCCCTTAAAAAGGGCAGGGCTTCCCTGGTGGCGCAGTGGTTGAGAGTCTGCCTGCCGATGCAGGGGACACGGGTTTGTGCCCCGGTCCGGGAAGATCCCACATGCCGCGGAGCGGCTGGGCCCGTGAGCCATGGCCACTGAGCCTGCGCGTCCGGAGCCTGTCCTCTGCAATGGGAGAGACCACAACAGTGAGAGGCCCACGTACCGCAAAAAAACAAAACAAAACAAACAAAAAAGGGCGAGGAGCCTGAATGAATCAATGAGCTTCTGTGAGCTCTCAGATCAGGGGCCTGTGGGAGGCTAGGTAGGTCAGCTGAACTTGGGTCGCT